GAAATTATCTGTCTAATCAGATAGTTTAACAGGCAAAAATGACCTAAGACTAATGTTATGTAAGGTAGATGTCAATTCTTCCTGGGTAGCTAACTAGCTAACAATTATGCGTGGCTGTATGGCTAGCTAACAGTATTAGCTAGGCAGTTAGCCCTATTGACTTACTATGGATTGCGATCTATGCACACTACAGTGGGTATTGTAGGCAGGTAAACATGCCAAAATTAACACAGCATGTATTTATTAACGTATCAAGATACATTTTGTAGGCAGGAAACATATGAGATGTGAATGGGCAACATTTTTAATTCCAAAGTCTGAGCTAATTTTCACTCGCTTCAGCTCAAATAATGTCCGCCATTGAAAAAACACAAAAGAGCCCGTAAAACGTCTGCTATCCACTGCAGCGCCATCTTATCATTCAGCATTAGCTAATTAGATAAAATCTGACACAGCTAAAAATTACTAAACTGTAAATGTAAATCTTACTAGCTACTAGCCAGGAGAAAGCTTATAGTTGTTCACGTTCATTCTGAAATCAAACTTTATTTACATTCATACACTTTACTTAAACTTACTTTGTTGTTGCTAACAACAATTACTTTCCCCGGTGCGGTGAGTAATGATGGCGGGGCTGCACAGTGCTTTTTCTCTCACTCCCACTCTGCCACACTGCTTGTAACAACTGAGAGTGAGAATGAAGCAGTCAGTGGGGGCGGGGGAAGTGACTCACGTTCCAGCAGCGGAGGCCTTAAAAAATAAATACAAAAATCCCTCAACGAATCGATTCAAAATTATTATTATTATTTTTTTTTTTATATTGGGGGGACCATTTTACCTGCTTCTAACATTGGGGGGAGGGGGGGAGACATGTCCCCCACAGCTCCTATGCCCTTCATGGCTGATAAATTAATTAATGTGATTAAATAAAAACTGAAGTAATGTGGACTAGAATGGCGAGTTATGTTCAGAGATCTATCATGTTATCTATCTACAGTTGAAGTCGGAAGTTTACATACACCTTAGCCAAATACATTTAAACTCAGTTTTTCACAATTCCTGACATTTAATCCTAGGAAAAATTCCCTGTCTTAGGTCAGTTAGGATCACCACTTTATTTTAAGAATGTGAAGTGTCAGAATAATAGTAGAGAGAATGATATATTTCAGCTTTTATTTCTTTCATCACATTCCCAGTGGGTCAGAAGTTTACATACACTCAATTAGTATTTGGTAGCATTGCCTTTAAAATTGTTTAACTTGGGTCAAACGTTTCGGGTAGCCTTCCACAAGCTTCCCACAATAAGTTGGGTGAATTTTGGCCCATTCCTCCAGACAGAGCTGGTGTAACTGAGTCAGGTTTGTAGGCCTCCTTGCTCGCACACACTTTTTCAGTTCTGCCCACAAATGTTCTATAGGATTGAGGTCAGGGTTTTGCCACTCCAATACCTTGACTTTGTTGTCCTTAAGCCATTTTTCCACAACTTTGGAAGTATGCTTGGGGTCATTGTCCATTAGGAAGACCCATTTGCGACCAAGCTTTAACTTCCTGACTGATGTCTTGAAGAGTTGCTTCAATATATCCACATAATTTTCCTTCCTCATGATGCCATCTATTTTGTGAAGTGCACCAGTCCCTCCTGCAGCAAAGCACCCCCACAGCATGATGCTGCCACCCCTGTGCTTCACGGTAGGGATGGTGTTCTTCGGCTTGCAAGCTGTCCCCTTTTTCCTCCAAACATAACGATGGTCATTATGGCCAAACAGTTCTATTTTTGTTTCATCAGACCAGAGGACATTTCTCCAAAAAGTACGATATTTGTCCCCATGTGCAGTTGCAGTTTCTTTAGATTTTCCCATGATTACAAGCAAAGAGGCACTGAGTTTGAAGGAAGGCCTTGAAATACATTCACAGGTACACCTCCAATTGACTCAAATGATGTCAATTAGCCTATCAGAAGCTTCTAAAGCCATGACATCATTTTCTGGAATTTTCCAAGCTGTTTAAAGGCACAGTCAACTTAGTGTATGTAAACTTCTGACCCACTGGAATTGTGATACAGTGAATTATAAGTAAAATAATCTGTCTGTAAACAATTGTTAGAAAAATTACTTGTGTCATGCACAAAGTAGCTGTCCTAACCGACTTGCCAAAACTATAGTTTGTTAACAAGACATTTCTGGAGTTGTTGAAAAACGAGTTTTAATGACTCCAACCTAAGTGTATGTAAACTTCCGACTTCATCTGTACATGCTCTATCTCTATGGCCCTATTCCCACTACAAGATATTTAGGAGAGTCTGAGGAGCGGGGTGGCGAAAGAGAATTCTACTTTTCAATTTACATGACATCCTTGCCTTACCTTTCGTTGTCGCTGGCAACACAACGTTCTTGGTCCGCAGCTCAAATTGACCAAAAATATCACAGTACCCACTAGCCAGTAAGCACAAACTATTCAACAATGACAAACCTTTCTTCTAAAACATATTACATTATTGAATAATGCAACCAAACCATATTACACTATTGAATAATGCAACCATTCACAAGCATGTATGTGCAGTCAATGAAAGGGTTTATCTTCTCATCTCTAGGCTACACTCATTACATTTTAGTTTAAGACAAAAGCAAAGGGTTGGTGTAACAGCATGTCTTCATCAAGTAACGTTAGCCTATAAAAAATGACAGATTAACCCTCTCACATGAATATAAAAGTACAGTAGGCCTACCTTACAACAAACCAGGCTTAATTTTTTATCAATATCATGCAAATCATTACGTGGTAAAAGCAAATTGCGACTGAAAACTTGCGTATAAGTGAATTCACTGCGACAAGCTGTTTTATTTGGAAGCCCATACCCGCCACCCAACTTTTTTTCACTAAAATGCCATATGATTTGTTAACGTGCACAATTAGTCTGTGCTTCAGTCTGATCAACTGTAGCCTACTGATAACAACCACAGCTGCAGGTAGCCTGGAGAAGCCTTTGTGCTCTGATCCCATCTGGACCTGGCCAGGGGAAACATCATGTCATGTTTTTGTAGCCTAAGCTATGTATTTATAGCCTAAAATGGGCCCATTTATTTGTGTTCTGAGAAAATGTGAATTTGATCAAATTTGGTGTATATTCACACTTCGGGTGGCTAGGCTACCTACAGCTTTATATAAAAAAGGATTGACTGGAATTAATCAATGAACACAATAGTGATGATATACTGTATGAGTATCTTTTTAATTACAGATGCAAAGGCCTACGTGATGCACTTGCAATACAGCGAGCTCATCCCTATTGTTATGTTCCTTTGTTTTTGTCCAATCACAGTTGTCGGTTTTTGTGTAAAGGGTTTTCATGTTTTCATCCTCCCTAGGGCAGGAGTTTTTCCAGGAGGAAAAATAAATAAATAATCATATGACCTGATTAGAAAAATGATCTGGTTCCATAGCCCATATAAAACCGTTTTTATACAGCTGATTTATTACTATGTCATACACTACAACTAGGGTCTGGAGTTGGTTAGGTTAGCCTGCTACCAGATCAGGAAAAATTGGGCCCCAGGAAAACAATTCCGCCCCACCGCTCTAGGACCTGTGGTGCCACATCTGAAATCACCAAACAATATTACAAAACATATTCTATTTGTATCATTTTACATGTTTTTGGTGGGGATGGGCTTCCATAGTTTTACGTGGCTCGGTGCATCCGGCAGCTACTGCGACAATTTCAGAATGTATCAAGCTGTTACTGCAATTTCAGGTAAAAACTAAATTAAAACAAGTCTCAAATATTAGGAAAATATCTAAACATTTCAGCTCTGCTATTTCCATTTATACTGTAGGAGTGTTCGCTCAACGAGACAATTCTGTTTGAACTGCCCTGCTTCAAGGGGGGAAACTGTCGGGTGAGTGTCGTGCGTTACCCCCGGAGGTAGGGTAGACGTAGCAAGTAAGGAAGTTTACATTTGAGTAATGTGTAGCCGTCTGTATTTTTACGAAAAGTGTGGTAAATGTGAAGTCTCACTTTATTTTCTTCTCTCCTATTCTTTTCCCTCCCTCAGCCTCATCTCTTTCACCCAGGTGAACTTGAACATTGGCCAACTGAACTGTCACAATTCATTGGTCAAAACAATACCAGGATACCAGGTGTTTCCATCCATATGGTTTTAGAGGCTTACTCAAGCCACAGACCCCGGTGACTGATGCCCAGCATGTAGCTTCACAGCGTGGGTCCTCATCAGGCCAGAGCATGGTCTCCCAGAGGCCTAGACTAGTTGATGGGACACTGGTGCTTTCCTATTGTTTTGGGTCCTATTCTCCCCAGAAGATGATACCCACAGTTGGTTAGTTCTGGGTAGAGCCTGAGGGTGTTGGTTCGTTCTGGTTAGTGTGTGAAGTTAGGCTATTTCTGGTTATAACATGACATCGTTTGTTGTAAGAGAGTGAGGTAAAGTATTAGTTGTTTGTGTGGTTAGTTTTGGTTAGAGTAAGTGTTGTTTGTGTGTAAGCTGAGCTGTGGTGTGTTGGCTGAGTCTGATCACTACATTATTGATCAGCCTCCACGGCTGCCGTTATCGATCCTATGTTTGACCTTAACCCAGAGTATCTCTCACGCGCTCTCTCTCTCTCTCTCTCTCTCTCACTCTCACTCTCACTCTCACTCTCTCTCTCACTCACTCACTCACACACCACTCACACACACACACACACACACCACACACCACACCACACACCACTCACACACCACACACACTCACACATACACACATACACTGGTACTACTGACCTCAGACCAGAGTTGAGTCCCAAATGGCACCCTATTCCCTATTAATTGCACTACTTTTGATCAGTACCATTTGGGACAGAGCCCAGTTCACCCAACTATTTGGATTCTGATGGTGGCTCATTTTAATTGGCTTGTTTACATTCATTTAAAATCTGTGTTGTTTGTGCTGTAGCCTTCTGCTCGTTAGTCATGTTCAGTCGTGTCTTTTCCTTAACAAGTGCTCAGCATCGAGAGCAAGCATGAGGTAACCATCCTCAGCGGACTCAATGAGTTTGTGGTCAAGTTCTACGGCCCACAAGGAAGTAAGTATTTTCATAAACATCCTAATGATTTTCACTGGCTTCTCAATGGGCTCATTGTGTCCATGCAAAGATCTGTATGGCATTATCTGCTGTAAGGATGCAATCTTCCTCCCAGTGTGTGTGCAGGCGGTTGTGTGTGCAGGTCTGTGTGTGTTTCTAATCAAATGTTGTTGTTTTTTAGCACCATATGAAGGAGGTGTATGGAAGGTGCGAGTAGACCTACCAGACAAATACCCCTTCAAGTCTCCATCTATAGGTACAGTATCAAAATGCATCTGTCACAACACTCTCTATGTAATATACACTAATAACATAACTGGTGAAAGCATTGTGGAAATTACAATAACACTTTTTCCAACCACAGGTTTTCTATGAAGACTAACTTTATTTTTCTCCTCACAGGATTCATTAATAAAATCTTTCATCCCAACATTGATGAAGCGTAAGTTCATTTTGATGATATCGTTTTAGTCGTTAGCAACTAATGTACAGTATGTTGATGTTTAGACCTGGACAATCTTATCAGTTATACATAATGTTTGTTTGATGTTATATCACAAAATGCTGCTCACAATTTAGTTTATTTTCTGCTCTCTCATCTCCCCTTTCCTTCAGGTCAGGGACGGTGTGTCTAGATGTCATCAACCAGACGTGGACAGCCCTGTACGGTGAGTAAAGGTTCCACATTTATTTCAAAATGGACACAATGGACATGCTACCACTTCAGTTTGAAAACGTTTGAAACTCACTGAATGGTTTGTTCCATGACATTGGTACATGCTGTACCTTTTCTCTATGACCATGTCTGGGCTGTTGGCTGCTGTGAGGAGCTGACATAAGAGTGACCGACTGGGAAAACAGGTCTACAATGTCTCTATCAACTTAAGTATCTCTCAACTTAGTGTTTATAAGGCTTTTATATGGCTGGCCTTGTGAATAGCTGAGCATGATTGCCATACAGAAGTTCCTATCATTGAAAACCGTACTAGCAATTTACCTTGTTACTGTGATTTGTACTCTTGTTCCAACGTTTAGGAACACTGTGTCAGTGGGACATACCCGACATGGCATTATAATATGTTTTTTTTAATCACCCTTTCTGGTTTGAGTTGTTGGCCCATTCACTGCTTGAAGCAGATAGGCTATTGTATTGATGGTGAGAGCTGAACAGAGACCTAGTGGCCGTTTGTCATCATGACAGGACTGGATATGAAATGCAAAACTGCGAGGCCTACTAACCTCCGAATGAAATACTTGTGATGTGTTTTTTTTTTTTTGCAGTTCAACTTGTACTGTTCTACTAATTGTGCAATTAGTACAGCTCATTGAGTGTTTGCCTTGAGTCGAAAGTTGCACATTAGCACCTCTTTACCCTCCATAATGTAAAACACTGGTCGTCCCTCCTCCCCTTGCAGACCTGACCAACATATTTGAGTCATTCCTGCCCCAGCTGCTGGCCTACCCCAACCCCATCGACCCTCTCAACGGAGACGCTGCCGCCATGTACCTTCACCGGCCAGAGGACTACAAACACAAGATCAAAGGTGATGCACACACATATACACACTGTACATGCGTACTGTACATACACACACACACAATAGACTGTCTGACTCTTTTCCTGCTCTCTGTTCCAGAGTATCTCCAAAAGTATGCGACAGAGGAGGCTCTAAAGGAGCAGGAGGAGGGAGGTGACTCCTCATCTGAGAGTTCCATGTCTGACTTCTCTGAGGATGAGGCTCAGGACATGGAGTTGTAGTGAAGGGGTGGCAACCGCCCTCCCCTCACCCACACAGACTATCATTTCCTAAAGAGCAGAAGCAAACTATTATATTCATATTTAAACAAGGCAATTGTTTTATTACTAAACAAACACATTTTTATGGATTATATGTATGAGAAGCGGCAGTGTGAAATGTCACTCTCCCCCTCGTCAAGGTATTCTTTATTACTTACTCATAGCCCTCCACCACCACCACCACCACCACCACCCACATTATTACCCCCTCCTACCCAGAAAGGAGTGCAGCATTCCCAGGATCCTAGATGCCCTCCTGCAGTCTGAGTCGTATTCTGATTAACCTTTGACCCAACCATGATGGAGCCGATATGGAGAGACCAGAGAGCAGTGCATCATGGGAAGACAAGACTGTTGTTGTCATGATGGAGACAGGGATGGAATGTTTACACTCAGTAACCCCGGCCACTCCCAGCCCCAGTTTAGATTTTTAATTCTCAGAATTGTTCTGTATTTGATTTGGTGAGTGAAACACTGTTTCAACAGTTACAGCTTTTCCTCCCCTCCCCATGCTCTAAGAGAAGCTCTCTGTCTCTAGTGCATGGCCCACTCTCTCTGGAGTCATTACCACAATAAGGAATCACACTTTGAGATCCAATTTCACCCATTGACTTTCTCAAATGTTCTGCCTTCCTTTGGATGGGGTTTGAAACTGCCATCAGGACCACCACAGGATCACTCCTTCCCAAGGATCAGTTAGTGGGTTTCATCCAGACCCACCTATCCAATATGGCTGCCGTTGACCCCTCTGTCAGGCCTCGCCCCAGAGGCCAGTATGCAAACCTATCAACCCACCACACCCTGGTTTTCATAGAAACTGTTCTGTAAACAAGCCTTTCACCCTGTAGCCAGGAGCACCAGCTCACCAACCAAAGACAACCTACCACACCATTTAACACCCGGGGGGGGGGGGGGGAGAGCGAGAGAGAGAGAACCAACCTCATGTTGCCAGACCCAACTGACCTAGGTGGAAATGAAACAAGACTACTAGAGCCATAGTAGTTTCTCATCTCCGTGACAACCCTAACACACACAACATGACACACTGTTGTTGCTCTGGAGGAGAGAACCACAGAGACGAACTACTATCAAACCAGGAGCTGTCTGTCACTAAACAAACTCACGCTGTTGTCCACCAGACACTCCTTTAGCCATCCTCTTTCTCCTCCTCTCCGTTTTAGGAAAGTGTTTGTCATTCTCTAAGCATCCTTTTGTACCTTGTGGCATGATCCAGAAGTTAAGTTGTGTAGTGCTTTGTTGAGCTTATTTGCTGTAGAAATAGAGAAAAGACACGTCTTGTGTGATGGATGGGTTTCTATCTAGATGTCAGCGGTGTCCAGTCGTATCCACACTGAGGGCCAGTGCGAGGCCAGGCTTCGTTCCATCCAAGCACTAACACACCTGTTTGGACTTCTCAGTCTTTATGGAAGACTGATTAGTTGATTCAGGTGTGTTGGTTTGTACAGAAGCCTGGAGCCACACCAGTGGCCTTCTGTAGATAAGACTGGACTGCCCTGATCTAGTGGTTGGGTTGTTGGGTTGTTGTGTGGGACTGGGTTGGGAGGTGTTGAGGGGTACCTGGGGACTTGTTGGATGTAGTGGGGTGGGGTGGAGAGGGAACTATGCCTGTTGCTTGTGTTCAACTATAATAGGTATTTGACTTGCGTAGTGCTAGTTAATGTGCCGGATGGTGAATCCTATTATATAATCTATGGTTTTATTCCTTCTATAGCAAGCTAGTTTCAAAGCTAATCGTCCTGTAAAGGTGAAGCATTTTGTTTTAATTTGATTTGAATCTGATCCTCCAAAGACATGTTGCATCTCTGTATCCTTTCTTTTATGCAAATGGACCCCTCTGTCTGCATTGTCAGTGTGCAAGTGAACTTATCTAGCCTGGTTGTCTGGCTGTTTCTACCGTAGCCAACTCCTTTGTCATTGTTGTGATGTCATGTTGGGCTAAAGCAGAAACACACTGTCTGGCACCCAGGCTAGATGAGTACAGCTACATACCCAGACTGGCAAGCAGTGTTTGGGTTTTTTCAACCTTTGTGATCTATATCTCAGCAGCACCACATTGGGAGTGCTCCAGGATTCTCCTCTCTTACTGTTGTGATCATGGAGAGGTTGGTCAAGGCTCATCAACCTACACAGGGTGTCCCATTCATGCCACAGTACCGTACATGGGCCCAATCATATCCCCAGATTGGTGTGCTTAATTCTATAATATTATATAGGGCACATTCTATATGAGTGTTTCAGATAGAAATGTAATGGGCATGAGTGTCAATTTCACACAATGGAGGATATTTTATATTCTGTACGTGACAGAACTACCTATGATTTTCTAAACATTGTGCGTCAATTCGATATGCTACTAGTGACGTGTAACTGAAAAAGGTCTAGGTCCTAAACTTTAGGAGCTGAGTGTATATTACTGCCATAATAATGGGGACTCTTTGCTCAAAGCAGATGTCATAATGCTTCAAAACACTGTCATAAGACTGCCGTAATACTGACATAAAGCCTGTTACGGGGGTGTACTGGCTACTTGTCACATTAGAGGAGATGTCATCTGTATTTTCTTTTTTTCTTTTTACTCATCGCTTTCATTTGGGACATCTTAGTCGTACACATTAGAATTGAATCACAATTTATTTAATCCCTTTGTTTTCATTTTCACAAAATGCAACAACTGTAAAATATACAGTGGGGGAAAAAAGTATTTAGTCAGCCACCAATTGTGCAAGTTCTCCCACTTAAAAAGATGAGAGAGGCCTGTAATTGTCATCATAGGTACACGTCAACTATGACAGACAAAATGAGAAAAAAAAATCCAGAAAATCACATTGTAGGATTTTTTATGAATTTATTTGCAAATTATGGTGGAAAATAAGTATTTGGTCACCTACAAACAAGCAAGATTTCTGGCTCTCACAGACCTGTAACTTCTTCTTTAAGAGGCTCCTCTGTCCTCCACTCGTTACCTGTATTAATGGCACCTGTTTGAACTTGTTATCAGTATAAAAGATACCTGTCCACAACCTCAAACAGTCACACTCCAAACTCCACTATGGCCAAGACCAAAGAGCTGTCAAAGGACACCAGAAACAAAATTGTAGACCTGCACCAGGCTGGGAAGACTGAATCTGCAATAGGTAAGCAGCTTGGTTTGAAGAAATCAACTGTGGGAGCAATTATTAGGAAATGGAAGACATACAAGACCACTGATAATCTCCCTCGATCTGGGGCTCCACGCAAGATCTCACCCCGTGGGGTCAAAATGATCACAAGAACGGTGAGCAAAAATCCCAGAACCACACGGGGGGACCTAGTGAATGACCTGCAGAGAGCTGGGACCAAAGTAACAAAGCCTACCATCAGAAACACACTATGCCGCCAGGGACTCAAATTCTGCAGTGCCAGACGTGTCCCCCTGCTTAAGCCAGTACATGTCCAGGCCCGTCTGAAGTTTGCTAGAGTGCATGTGGATGATCCAGAAGAGGATTGGGAGAATGTCATATGGTCAGATGAAACCAAAATAGAACTTTTTGGTAAAAACTCAACTTGTCGTGTTTGGAGGACAAAGAATGCTGAGTTGCATCCAAAGAACACCATACCTACTGTGAAGCATGGGGATGGAAACATCATGCTTTGGGGCTGTTTTTCTGCAAAGGGACCAGGACGACTGATCCGTGTAAAGGAAAGAATGAATGGGGCCATGTATCGTGAGATTTTGAGTGAAAACCTCCTTCCATCAGCAAGGGCATTAAAAATGAAACGTGGCTGGGTCTTTCAGCATGACAATGATCCCAAACACACCGCCTGGGCAACGAAGGAGTGGCTTCGTAAGAAGCATTTCAATGTCTTGGAGTGGCCTAGCCAGTCTCCAGATCTCAACCCCATAGAAAATCTTTGGAGGGAGTTGAAAGTCTTTGTTGCCCAGCGACAGCCCCAAAACATCACTGCTCTAGAGGAGATCTGCATGGAGGAATGGGCCAAAATACCAGCAACAGTGTGTGAAAACCTTGTGAAGACTTACAGAAAACGTTTGACCTGTGTCATTGCCAACAAAGGGTATATAACAAAGTTGAGAAACTTTTGTTAGTGACCAAATACTTATTTTCCACCATAATTTGCAAATCAATTCATTAAAAATCCTACAATGTGATTTGCTGGATTTTTTTTTCTCATTTTGTCTGTCATAGTTGACGTGTACCTATAATGAAAATTACAGGCCTCTCTCATCTTTTTAAGTGGGAGAACTTGCACAATTGGTGGCTGACTAAATACTTTTTTCCCCCACTGTATAATGTATACAGTTAACATATTTTTAAGTATTAGGGTGCAGTGTTGAAGTTAGAGATGTACAGATAACAGAACAGACCCCACACCTCAATTCCACATGATGATGAAACTATTGTTGATATTTGTCTGTAATTTGTCTTTTGCCTCCATTAAACTAAGAACAGGAGAGTCAATGGAAAATGACATTTCTTTGTGAAATAATATTGCATTGAAAAACATGCACTGTCTACTGACAGGGGAAAGCCTCAGCGTTGAGATGGTTGGCGTTAGCATTAGCATCCTAATACATTGAGTGTAGTTTTAGCATTATGCTAACTGTCTCTGAGTAACAAGGGGACCAGACACACTGGTGTATTCTAATGGTTACCACAAGACAAGAGAACAGCCATAATGTGTAACTATGTTGGCTATTCGCAAATTTAGCATCATTTGAAAAAAAAATTCTACACATTCAACTTGCCACAAAAGCAGAACAAAAAACGTAATGTCTGCTCTCACTGTTTGCTGAGTTGCAAGCTTGTTGGACGCAACAATCAGTGAGTGGACAGGACCCTTTCCCTATAGTTATCTAGCATCAGGACACATTAGTCATTACAGTATGTGTATAACCCCCTTTTAATTGAATAATGAGATATATACTGTATTTGAAACATGTTATTGGTTTGATTGTTTTAACCCTTTTAAGGATGTACAAGACCAGAAATTCCCACATTTTTAAAGGAAAATGAGTTAATAAATAAATGTGCTTCCCTTGTAACTTTAATAAAGAAATAAACAAAAATATGAAAACAAACTCCTTTTAAAATCGTCTCTGTTTTACTGCTGGTTTGTGGTCTGATTCTCTCCATTCCCTGGAGTGTGCAAATGCTCACTCCCCCTTGTGAGTTTTAAAGCATTTTGATTGGTGTAACCATGAGCTGGATGGATTTTTCACCATATTTCTAACAGACTGAGCAGCACCAGAATCAGAGGGGCGGCAGGTAGGCTAGCGGTTAGAGAGGCGAGCCAGCAACCGGAGGGTTGCCAGTTCACCGAAAAGAAATCTGGCAGGAAGTGAGCTGGCAACCGGAGCGTTGCTGGTATCAAATCCTAGATGCCATTGCCTGCCGTTGTGCCCTTGAGCAAGGCACTTAACCTCTCCAAAACCTGTATGTGTATGCATGTGTGTCTTTCGGAGAAGTACAATTTTGGTTGGAACTTGTGTGCAATTGACAAATAAAGTGATTTTAAACTCAGATGTCATACCAGGTCTGGCCAGCAGAGGGCATAAACGACATGTAAATACTGTAAGCTTTTCTACCGTTCTTCTATAGCTCAGTGTTCTTTCCTCTCTTTGGTTAGACATATTCTCAGATATTACACAGTCTACATAGTACACTGTGGTTTTCTTTCCTTGTCTCCTCTCCCTCATCTGCACCGATCTAAAAAATACAATAAAAATACGCCAGTTCAGTGTAGATGGAAAGGAGACTTAGCCTTTGTCAAAGATGACTCCAATTTAAACATGATCTTTTTTTATCGATCAAAATGATTATTTATCCAGGTGAGTCCCATTGAAATTGATCTAGACAAGTTCTACATTTTACAAACATTTTATTTCCATTTTCATCAGAAAATTACAGCAGTATTTCCATAAATAGCTCATTGTTACTGTACAATCAAAATAATATATTACTTTATAGGCCTACTGTAAGCAACATATTAAAAACTAGAGCAGGTAGAAATAATATTTGACAGAATATGTGTGTCTTTGTTTTTCAGTTGTTGTGGGGGTTGGGGTTGGGGGGGGGGGGGGGGTAGGCAGATAGTGGTTATGTACTGTAGGTAGGCTAGGGTAGGTGTGAGGTAGAGCAGGGCAGACTTTGGGGTTAGACTGGGTATCTGCAATGGAAAGGGCTGAGTTCCTCTAGAGTCAATAGGATGTAGAGAGATGACTTGTCTTTACTAGGATGTACAGTATAGGTCTCTGTGGAAAATTTGTGTCAGCATGGGGACCATTTGTTTACAATTGGCTGGGTGACTATTATTTGGCATTTCTGTCCTGTGGCAGAAGATGGCTCAATGACAGACAGGTTATGAGGTGTTTGTGGCTGGGACTCAGCGTAACATAAGATAAAATAGCTATCATTATCAAAATATGACCCTTTCTGTCCCCCGCCTCCAGCGCACAGCCGGCCGGCCGCTCATTAGGCGGGATTAGGAGGATGTCTATGTCGGCAGATTGACGAGGGCAGCAACAACACATAAAACCTCACATAAGTCTGCCCAAAAACAATGAGAATTTCTCTCAACCAGTGGCATATGGGCTTTTTAGGTGAGCGCTGATGCCGCCCTGTGATAAGCAGTGCCCACTTTGTCAAAGGCAGGGGCGCAAAATATTTTGCTTGTCCATTCCCAGCGTGCTGTTGGAGAGATGAATTGCTGCAGCACTCCACCAACGTTTAACCTAAATGGCGCTCAATCAAATAAAACATGTGCTGTCATGTTAACAAACAACATATCCTAAAAACAGGACAGGTCAAACAAAGTCAAATGGACAAAATGGAATGGACAATCACAACTGTTGTCCAGGAGTTTCACCCCATTGTCATGATCAGTAGTTTTAAGTTTGTATCTGTAAAGTTTTGACAAGCTGATCATAGTGAAAAAGAAACTTCTGCATTTCCAGCTGTGTAAACACATTGCAAATAGGCTCACGATAACTCCTGATAAAGTTGAGTAGCTGATATTCAGAACATAAATAGCAAAATTGATTAGTCACAGGAATCAGAACTAATAAAACCAATGCAACGGCCTGTTTTACAAACGGTGGGCCTACCACATGGATGGGCATTTATAAAATTCCATTGTGGCTGACATGGTAGGCTACACCCCAGTAAGCACAAGCCGATGTCTTTTGGAAGTCTTTTTTTGGTGCAGTCTGGACCGGCCTTGATTTCCACATCCACAGACATTGGTTTTTGGTCTGGTCCGGACCAAATCTGAACCAATCATAGACGTCAATGTTTGGTTCAGATTTTGTCCGGACTGGACCAGTCTTGATTTGAGCCAAACATAGACGTCAGCATTTTTTGGTCTCGCATAGGGCAGAACGGCAAGGACCGGCCCTGCTCCAGGGTACTTCTTTCTCACCTCCCCAAAATGTTGAAAGTGGGAGGCGGGATCAGATCGGCACAGCATTGTCAAATGAGGTTGTGGAGTATGGCCAAGCACGTGCATGTCTTTGTGCACAGCTGCAGAAGCTCGAGAGCAATTACGTGATGACATAGTACATAACTTTTGTTGAGAGCCTCTTTAACTTGGGGATAGCCCACATACAGCGCTTCTAACATGTTTACTTCTCTTTAAATATTTCATACTGACCAGCAACAACACAAAATTATTCCAAGCATCTTGTTTTTACCCCAAATGTTTATTCTAAAGCAGGCTTTTAAATAACAATAATTAAAATAATTAAAACATACTAAATTCTGGCTTAATAGGTAGGCTATTTACATTATCAATGGCAAAATTATTAAAAACATTACTGAGAATTCTAAATCCTATAAAGATTTATTTAACCTTATTTAAAAAAATATTTTTCAAAACCTCCAGTTATTTCTTTGTAGAAACACTGTCTTAAATATTCTACAACTGTGTTTTTGCTAGTCCATGAACCCAAGAGAAAAAAGCTCCAGAATAGTAAAAGCTCTATAACACAGTGTTTAGTTCTAGGTAGTTCCAACAGTACTGTCACTAGTATGATCACTAGTAGCTCTTCTAGGTCTTTAAGTGCATCTTGGCTGATTCAAGTCCTTCCAGTTCAGTGGTTGGTTGGCTGGCTATTGGTTGCTTCCAAACCCTTCCAGATCATGGAGGGAGAAAAGGAGGACATATGACTGCTCATTGTATTCGTCCCAAAGTCTATGATTGGTTAAAGTGGGTCCCAATATTATGCCATACCCTTATGTTGCTATGACCTTTAGCTTTTAGACTACTAGTCTTTCACCAGTGGTGAGTCTGACCACACTACAAAGTCTAGGAGAGTGGCATGTTTAGCTACAGAGCCTGTCCTCCTTTTCTCCCTCCTTCTTTTCTATCATCCTCTCTTCCTTCCCAGTCCAGAGCTCTCTTCCCTCTCTGCCTCAGACTGGGAACCAGTTCAGTGTCCTCTCTCTCTCCATCGGTCATTGGTCGTCGGTCTGTCTGTCTGTCTGTCTGTCGGTCTGGAGCAGGGCAGGGGGTCACCGGGGAGGGGCAACCTTTGGCCTGCCCCTTGCCCCAGTGCACGTTGGGAATGGTCAGACACTTCCTGAAGAGCTCCAGCTGAGCCTGCAGCCTCTCTCTCTCATCTCTCACCCTCTGTCTCTGACTCACCAGCTCCTAGAGAGAGAGAAAGAGGGATGGGAGCAAGAGAGCGATAAAGAGCGAGAGCGTTACTAAAAGAGTGAGAGTGTGGTTGAACAAAGCACATCAGTGTAGACAGAAACAGACAGACAGACAGACAGTCAGTCAGAGTGCTTATCAAGCTTTAGTTTTCACTTTTAGATCATAATAAATAAGATTGTATGGACAGATCCTATATCAGCACTCCTACTCTGAGACACTTTGTGGATATATAGGCCTTGAGGTTCTTACCGCCATGCTGTGTGAGAGTTGTTCAGCTGTCAGACTGAGAGTGTAGTTCTGAGTCTCCAGCCTCCGGCACTGACTGTGAAGAACCTGTCTCTCCATACCCCGCTCTAAGAGAGAGAGAGAGGGGGGAAGAGAGATATAGAGAGAGCGACAGGATGGTAAAGGGGAGACATGGGGTCATAGAGGGAGAGAGAGGAAGACCGATAGGGAGAGCGGCATAGAGGGTGAGAAAGTGTGTGTGGGGGGGGGGGGGGGGGGGGGGGGGGGGAGCAAATGAGACAAAAACATAAAAAACAAACATATTTGTAGATGAAACACATTTATTTTTATTTGACTCATCCCAAATAAAGCCCAAAGGTAAACTCACCATCCACATACTCCTGATAAGCCTCAAAGACTGACTCTATGCCCCTCCACTTCCTAGGGGCGTCCCCCTCCTCCTCTTCATCATCCTCTTCCTCTGACAGCTCGTCCCGTACGCAAAGGGGGTCATGGTGGGGTGGAGAGGGGTAAGGGTGATGCCCGTTGATGGGGTGTGGGGATGTGTTGAGGAGGGCTGGTCTCTTCAGTGGGGGGATGTGGTAGGGCGCTGACGGCTCAGACTTTATACTGGACTCGGGAAAGCAGGTGGAGCCACCCAGTGTCTTGTGGGTAGACTGTAACGCAGTCTGGTGGAAGTCCTTCGGGATGAATCTTTCCCATGGCTTGTTCTGCCCGTTCCGCACAGCCAGGGGCACCTTCTGTTGAGGATGATGGCCAGGGTGGCCTGCTCCATTCTGGAGGTCCTGGAGCCTCTTAGCTGGGTGACCTCCGCCCAATCCTTTACTGTTGGGTTTGGGGGCCAGGGGAGGGGGTTGGCGGGGTGGAGGGGTGGAGGGTTTTAGCGGGTCTGTGTAGAGGTTGTTGGGGGGGGTGGGGGTAGGGGGGCGAGGGGCTTGGGGAGTCTGGGTAGTGGAGTCCGTTCGATTCACCTGATAACATAAACATAAACGCAGTATAAGGATCTCATGGGTGTTACCCTTTGTGTGTGTGTGTGTGTGTTTGTTTGTCTTACCAGTTGGGGAAACAGGGGGGCTTCTATAGAGGGGTAATGGGTTGTATCTGATGGTGTCCAACGTCACACTCTTCAGCTTTATAGCCTTCAGCAACCCCTCCATCTTCTCCTTATCTAGAGAGAGAGGGGGGGGGGGGGGGAGACTGATTTAGACCTGGGACACCAATTAATTATCAGGTAGAAAAGAAAACCAGCGGTACTCTGGACGTCTTAGAGTAAGATTTGAATACCCCTGGGATATAGCATTACAGTACACCAGGGTGTAGTGGTTAGGGGTTGGAGAAAAAGAGCTAGGGTGTAGTGTATAGGGGTTAGTGTAGTGTATGTTACCTCTCCTCTGCTGGCTGGTCACATGGGACAGGCTGAACATGTTGAGGAAGTCTTTCTTGTCCTCCAGGTGGGGGGTGCAGTTCATCTCCTCTGGGGTGAGAGTGGTGCTGAGGGGGGGAGCGGGTGCCACAGGAGGCGGAGGGGTCTTCCTCTTGCCTCGTACTGCCGGAGGGGAGGTGCTGCGCTCTCTCAACATCCTCCTCCTCTTCCTCCTCTTCTGGTGAAGCAGCTGGTCACGATGGGCCAGCGTGGTCAGGCCACACACACGCAGAAAACACACCTTCTACAAAAGACAGATTACAGTGAATTAACAATCAAACAACGTTATATTAAGAGGACGTGACGATTCTTAAGTGTGCGTGCGTGGAAGTTACCTCTGAGGATGTGTCCAGTTTTAAGGGGGGCTGCTCTGCTACCCTTCTGAGGTGGGCTCTCACCTCCTCCTCATCACTCTCATCATATGACTCATCTAGATCATAGTAATACCCTGGTGAAGAGAGAGAGAGAGAGAGAGAGAGAGATGGATGGAGAGAGAGAGAGATGGATGGAGAGAGGGAGTGGGAGTTAGAGAGAGAGAGAGACGGAGAAAATGAGAGAGAAAGAGAGAGTGAGAGAGAGAGTGAGAGAGAGTAAGAGAGAGAGAGAGAGATGGAGAAAATTAGAGAGTGAGTAAGAGAGAGAGTGAGAGAGAGAGCACAGACAATATTTATGTTAAAGACCACACCAGATCTCATCTCATACACTCTGAAAACCCCCTCTCCTCACCTCCCTCTCTCTTACATCCTGTCCCCTCTCTTCTTACCTCCTTCCCTGGCCTCTCTCCTCCTGCTCTCCTCCAGGTCCAGCTTGCTGACCAGCCTGCGGTGCTGCTGGAGAATCTCATCGTACACCACTGGGTTCTGAGGCTCTTGGCCTGGCCGTTCAGACCTCTGGAGGTCCATGGTGGGAGATGGGGAGCTGGCCTGGCGCTGGACACCCAGGTTGGAGCTGGGGCTGGGGGAGGAGAGGGACAGCGAGCCCCTCTGGTGGAGGTGGTTATGGTGGTGGTTATGGTGGTGGTGGAGACTGTGAGTGGATCCTTCGAGCTCAGCCATGCCCCAGAGGCCAGGCTCCTGCAGAATGGGTCCCCTGACAGACGAGAACCTCTCTGGGCCCTTCCCCATCTTCCTGCACCTATCCTCCACCCTCTCCCAGCTGGGGGACCGTTCGGTTCTGGTCAGGCCAGGAGGGGAGCGAGATGGAGGAACAGGGGAGTCGAACCTGCGATGGGGGTCTGGGGGGGTCTCAGTGAGGGAGGCAGGGTTCCAGAGGGTGGTGGGAGGGGCAGGGGGGTGGGGAAGGAGGTGAGGGTGATGTTTGGGTGAGATGAGTGGAGGTGGGGCTCCTAGGTGGGGTTGAGACTCTCTATTGCCTGTGTCACGTTGGCTGACGTTGGACCTGTGAAGACAACAAACACAATGTAGTCACACACAAACACACACTCTGGGTTTTATCCAAGTTGACCTTGATGATGCAGCCATTTTAAAAGTAGATGTCAGCAGAGTAGAGAGAGTACTGACTCGGAGGATACTGTAGTGTTATTGAACGAACGCACACACACAGGTCAACCCCACCTTTCTCAACTGCTTGTTCCTTGTCTGATTAAACACTGACCTGTAGCTGTCTCTCCTAGGCTCCACCCCTTCCACAGGTGGCCACACCTCCCTCTCCTGTCCCTGCCGGCGTTGCCGTGCCAACCTGCGCTCCTCCCCATTGGCCTGTTGGAGCATCACGGCAGAGGCCAGTGTTCCATGGAGCCCCCCGGAAGAGGCTGAGGCAGTGTGTGTGTTCCCCGTCTGAGAGGGCACCAGGCTGGGCATGAGGTGAGGGGCTGACTGGAGGCCTGGCTGAAGAGGTTTAGGTACTGGGAGGGCAGGGAGGGTGGGCTTATCTGGGGAAAATAGATTAGGTATTATAATGAATGCTTCATTTTATTTTTAGAACACACTTTGAAATACATTATGGATGTTATAAAGCATGATATGGATGGTGATCAGGCTCTACTTGTGCTTAATTAACGGGAAATCAACCAATCAATGTGTGTGCATTGCGTCTATACTGTGTGTGTGTGTGTATCTGTGTGTGTACACCGTACCCAGTCTGTTAGGTGTCAGCCTCTCCCCAGGTCTGACCCTGTCCTCCGGCAGAGCCGTGAGAGCCTTCAGCCCAGCAAGGTACTGGCTCTTCACCGCTCTCACCATCTGTCTCTCCCTCTCCCTCTCTCTCTCCCTCTCTCTCTCCCTCTCTCTCTCCCTCTCTCTCTCCCTCTGCCTATCTTTCTGTCTTTCCATCTCTGTCTCCCTCTCTCTCTCCCGCTCCTTCTCTCTCTCCTGTTCCAGCTCACGCTCCCTCTGTTTCTCTCGTTCACGCTCTCGCTCCCTCTCTCGTTGGCGAAGCTCTTCCTCCATCTGTGTTCTGTGGGGGAGGTAAAAAAATACACACACACACACACACACACACACACACCAAGGACACAGGGGAGAGAGGGTGAGAGATGCAACACCCACCATGGGGCAGATTAACCACACACTGTTAAACACACACACCTATGCACACACATGCGCTTGCACACACACACACACACACACACACACACACACACACACACACACACACACACACACACACACACACACACACCATATAAGACATACATACACACACACACACACACACCATATAAGACATACACACACACACACACCATATAAGACATACACAGCATGAGTGAGCAAGAGCAGATCAACAATTCATAGGTAACCACAGGATAAACACACACACACTGATGTGTGTATTGGTTTGTGTTTGTGATGTGTATGGTAGCATGGTGGGGTGTGTTCTAAAAATATAACAGTCAGCAACCTGTGCCTTTCCTGCAGAGAGATTACCAACCGTGTGTGTGTGTGCATGTATGAGTGTAACACCTCTCAGCCAGTGTGATGTGTGTGGTTGAGCTTCCAAAGGTAGCAGCCCTCAGGGCAGGTGCAGGTATGTGTGTGTGTGTGGGTGTTATTAGCGTGTGTGTTACTGTACCTCTCAGCCAGTGCACTATGTGTGTGGCTGAACTCCCCAGGGTAGCGTGCCCCAGGCAGGTGCATGTGGAGGGCAGCGGGGTGGAGGTGAGGGAAGGCCCCCCCTGCTGGTACAGAGTAGAACTGAGACCGCAGTGCAGAAAGACACAAAGACTCCTCCATCCTGGAACACACATGGAGAGAGACAAGTGGAAAAGGAGGGAGAAATGGAAAACGGGGAAGGAGAGGAGGGAAAGAGGCAAAGGGAGAGGGAGCCATCACAGCAGCAAGATTTGTGACCTGTTGCCACAAGAAAAGGGCAACCAGTGAAGAACAAACACCACTGTAAATACAACCCATATTTATGTTTATTTATTTTCCCATTTGTACTTTAACTATTTGCACATTGCTACAACACTGTATATATACATAATATGACATTTGAAATGTCTTTATTCTTTTGGAACTTCTGAGTGTAATGTTTACTGTTAATATTTATTGTTTATTTCACTTTTGTTTACTATCTACAGTGGGGAAAAAAGTATTTAGTCAGCCACCAATTGTGCAAGTTCTCCCACTTAAAAAGATGAGAGAGGCCTGTAATTTTAATCATAGGTACACGTCAACTATGACAGACAAAATGAGAAAAAAAAATCCTGAAAATCACATTGTAGGATTTTTAATGAATTTATTTGCAAATTATGGTGGAAAATAAGTATTTGGTCAATAACAAAAGTTTCTCAATACTTTGTTATATACCCTTTGTTGGCAATGACACAGGTCAAACGTTTTCTGTAAGTCTTCACAAGGTTTTCACACACTGTTGCTGGTATTTTGGCCCATTCCTCCATGCAGATCTCCTCTAGAGCAGTGATGTTTTGGGGCTGTTGCTGGACAACACGGACTTTCAACTCCCTCCAAAGATTTTCTATGGGGTTGAGATCTGGAGACTGGCTAGGCCACTCCAGGACCTTGAAATGCTTCTTACGAAGCCACTCCTTCGTTGCCCGGGCGGTGTGTTTGGGATCATTGTCATGCTGAAAGACCCAGCCACGTTTCATCTTCAATGCCCTTGCTGATGGAAGGAGGTTTTCACTCAAAATCTCACGATACATGGCCCCATTCATTCTTTCCTTTACACGGATCAGTCGTCCTGGTCCCTTTGCAGAAAAACAGCCCCAAAGCATGATGTTTCCACCCCCATGCTTCACAGTAGGTATGGTGTTCTTTGGATGCAACTCAGCATTCTTTGTCCTCCAAACACGACGAGTTGAGTTTTTACCAAAAAGTTCTATTTTGGTTTCATCTGACCATATGACATTCTCCCAATCCTCTTCTGGATCATCCAAATGCACTCTAGCAAACTTCAGATGGGCCTGGACATGTACTGGCTTAAGCAGGGGGACACGTCTGGTACTGCAGGATTTGAGTCCCTGGCGGCGTAGTGTGTTACTGATGGTAGGCTTTGTTACTTTGGTCCCAGCTCTCTGCAGGTCATTCACTAGGTCCCCCCGTGTGGTTCTGGGATTTTTGCTCACCGTTCTTGTGATCATTTTGACCCCACGGGGTGAGATCTTGCGTGGAGCCCCAGATCGAGGGAGATTATCAGTGGTCTTGTATGTCTTCCATTTCCTAATAATTGCTCCCACAGTTGATTTCTTCAAACCAAGCTGCTTACCTATTGCAGATTCAGTCTTCCCAGCCTGGTGCAGGTCTACAATTTTGTTTCTGGTGTCCTTTGACAGCCCTTTGGTCTTGGCCATAGTGGAGTTTGGAGTGTGACTGTTTGAGGTTGTGGACAGGTGTCTTTTATACTGATAACAAGTTCAAACAGGTGCCATTAATACAGGTAACGAGTGGAGGACAGAGGAGCCTCTTAAAGAAGAAGTTACAGGTCTGTGAGAGCCAGAAATCTTGCTTGTTTGTAGGTGACCAAATACTTATTTTCCACCATAATTTGCAAATAAATTCATTAAAAATCCTTCAATGTGATTTTCTGGATTTGTTTTCTCAATTTGTCTGTCATAGTTGACGTGTACCTATGATGAAAATTACAGGCCTCTCTCATCTTTTTAAGTGGGAGAACTTGCACAATTGGTGGCTGACTAAATACTTTTTTTCCCCCACTGTACTTCACTTGCTTTGGCAATGTTAACATACGTTTCCCATGCCAATAAAGCCCTTAAATTGAATTGAATTGAATTGGGAGCAATGTTTTCAACATATTCATTTTTACAGTAAGGCACATTCTGGGGTTCAGTCGCAGTCTATACATCCCATCCTGGAAACACAAACACACATGCTGCTGCAAACCCCTGTCTCCCTGTCTGTCTCTCTGTGTCCCTGTCTGTCTCTCTGTGTCCCTGTCCGTCTCTCTGTGTCCATGTCTGTCTCTCTGTCTCCCTGTCTGTCTCTCTGTGTCCCTGTCTGTCTCTCTGTGTCCCTGTCTGTCTCTCTGTCTCCCTGTCTGTCTCTCTGTGTCCCTGTCTGTCTCTCTGTGTCCCTGTCTGTCTCTCTGTGTCCCTGTCTGTCTCTGTGTCCCTGTCTGTCTCTCTGTGTCCCTGTCCGTCTCTCTGTGTCCCTGTCTGTCTCTCTGTGTCCCTGTCTGTCTCTCTGTGTCCCTGTCTGTCTCTCTGTGTCCCTGTCTGTCTCTCTGTCTCCCTGTCTGTCTCTCTGTCTCCCTGTCTGTCTCTCTGTCTCCCTGTCTGTCTCTCTGTCTCCCTGTCTGTCTCTCTGTGTCCCTGTCTGTCTCTCTGTGTCCCTGTCTGTCTCTCTGTGTCCCTGTCTGTCTCTCTGTGTCCCTGTCTGTCTCTCTGTCTCCCTGTCTGTCTCTCTGTCTCCCTGTCTGTCTCTCTGTGTCCCTGTCTGTCTCTCTGTGTCCCTGTCTGTCTCTCTGTGTCCCTGTCTGTCTCTCTGTGTCCCTGTCCGTCTCTCTGTGTCCCTGTCCGTCTCTCTGTGTCCCTGTCTGTCTCTCTGTGTCTCTGTCTCCATATCTGCAGAAAACTGACTCTGATAACTACAGAGCAAGACAGAGGTAGGCAAGGTGGTCTATAGAATGACCTGTGTAGGTGGTGTAGTCAGGGTGGTCTACAGACTGACCTGTGTAGGCTGTTGAGGTAGGTAGGGTGGTCTATAGACTGACCTGTGTAGGTGGTGGAGGTAGGCAGGATGGTATAGACTGACCTGTGTATGTGGTGGAGGAAGGCAAGGTGGTCTATAGACTGACCTGTGTAGGTGGTGGAGGTAGGCAGGGTAGTCTATAGACTGACCTGTGTAGGTGGTGGAGGTAGGCAGGGTGGTCTATAAACTGACCTGTGTAGGTGGTGGATGTAGGCAGGGTAGTCTATAGACTGACCTGTGTAGGTGGTGGAGGTAGGCAGGGTGGTCTATAAACTGACCTGTGTAGGTGGTGGATGTAGGCAGGGTAGTCTATAGACTGACCTGTGTATGTGGTGGAGGTAGTCAGGGTGGTCTACAGACTGACCTGTGTATGTTGTGGAGGTAGACAGGGTAGTTTATAGACTGACCTGTGTAGGTGGTGTAGGCAGGGGGGTGTATAGACTGACTAGTGTAGGTGGTAGAGGTAGGCAGGGTGTTCTATAGACTGACCTGTGTAGGTCATGGAGGTAGCCAGGATGGTATAGACTGACCTGTGTATGTGGTTGAGGTAGGCAGGGTAGTCTATAGATGACATGTGTAGGTGGTTGAGGTTGGCAAGGTGTTCTATACACTGATCTGTGTTGGTGATTGAGGTTGGCAGGGTTGTCTATAGACTGACCTAGGTAGGTGTTGGATGTAGGTATGCTGGTCTATAGACTGACCTGTTCAGATGGTGGAGGTAGCCAGGATGGCATAGACTTACCTGTGTATGTGGTTGAGGTAGGCAGGGTGGTCTATAGACTGACCTGTGTATGTGGTGGAGGTAGGTATTGTGTTCTATATACTGACCCATGTAGGTGGTGGAGGTAGGCAGGGTAGTCTACAGACTGACCTGTGTAGCTGGTAGAGGTAGACAGGTTGGTCTACAGACTGACCTGTGTAGTTGATGGAAGTAGGCAGGGTGGTCTATAGACTGACCTGTGTATGTGGTTGAGGTAGCTCAGTTGGTAGAGCATGGCGCTTGCAACGCCAGGGTTGTGGGTTCGATTCCCACGGGGGGCCAGTATGAAAAATGTATGCACTCACTAACTGTAAGTCACTCTGGATAAGAGCATCTGCTAAATGACTAAAAAAATGTAAAATGTAGGTAGGCAGGGGTCCATAGACTGACCTTTGTATGTGGTGAAGGTAGGCAGGGTGGTCTATAGACTGAATTGTGTAGGTGGTGGAGGTAGGCAGGGTGGTCTTTAGACTGACCTGTGTAGGTGGTTGGGGTAGGTATGGTGGTCTATAGACTGACCGTTGTAGGTGGTAGAGGTTGACAGGGTGGTCTATAGACTGACCTGTGTAGGTGGTGGAGGTAGGCAGGGTAGTGTTTAGACTGACCTGTGTATGTGGTTGAGGTAGGCAGGGTGGTCTATAGACTGACCTGTGGAGGTGGTGGAGGTAGGCAGGGTGGTAGTAGGCAGCAGCAGCAGTAACGTGGGCAGCGGTGGTGGGGTCGAGCCCCAGGGGCAGCGAGCGCAGGCGAAGGTCATCTGAGGTGGCGAAGGGGCGGAGTCCTCTTAGGTACTCCTCTTGGACCGCCCCTGAGGAAACTGCAGGGTGTACCTGACCAGGTAGACTACAAGAGGGGGAGGAGTTCGGGATCAGATTGCAAATTGGAGTCTGCTGTCATGGAGTTAAAGGAGGCATATGTGGTTTAAGGTTTAAGCAAGTATAGAGACTTATATGATGCACCGTAGACAGGTTTGTGTGTGTGAGTGTGAGTGTGAGTGTGTGTGTGTGTGTGTGTGTGTGTGTGTGTGTGTGTGTGTGTGTGTAGGCATCCAGGTGATAGAGTGGCTCACCTGAGGCCCTGTAGTCGCCGGTCCTGCATTACAGAGCTGGGGGTGAGGCTGAAGGGGTAGGATGGGTGAGCCAGGATGTGAGGAGAGGGGACAGGATGAGCCCCTTTCTCCTGGGGAAGGCTGGGCTCAGACCCCACACGCTCCCAACTCACCCCCCGAACACCTGACTCAGCCTGACAGAGAGAGAGAGGGAGAGACAGCGGGAGAGAGAGACAGAAAGACAATCTTTGTTAGGCAAAATAAAAAAATCCTACTCACAACATATGAAATTTCCATTTATGGACATTTTTCAAGTCAGGATTTGTCCCTTAATGTTGATCTAGCCATAGCATGTTAACACTGTCACATCCTAGCAATGCAGCTAATCCAACCATCCACTCTGTGTTCAACACGCATTACTGACTCCCCTGCCAGTAATGCTCTCATCATTACTCTGGCACCCCTGTTATGTCTGTTCCCTATTCACACAGACACATGCACACACACCATCACCTTCTTCTAGGTCAAGATAAGAGACTCACGTTAATAGCTCTAAGAGCCTTGAAGCAGGGAGGGAGAGTGAGAGGAGAAAGGATGGAGAGTAGGGTAGAGGAAGGAGAGGAGAGGGGGGAAAGGGAGGGGAGATGACCTCCCAGCTACGAGCTAAAAGCCCACCCGGTTGGAGAAGTGCTTCTGATATGTCAGAGGACGTCAAGATCAGGGCAGGAGGGGACATCCTAAAACTCATCCTCCCTCTACTACCCCCTTCATCTTTCTCTGCTGTCTACCTCTCTCTCCATAAAGTATTAACATTCACTCACTCATTCACTCACTCACTCCACCAAACTACTCCCCCACATGAGTAACTTTGCTGAGGACTTGTATTCGCTCCCAGTCTAGAGTCACTCCAACAACCAGGGTTTCTGGCTGCAGCTTTGAATATCTCTCTCAGGGAAATCAGATACACACCAGGCTTTCCAATAATGATCAAACACACTCCAGTCTCCTTTCTGGTCTCTCTTTGGTCTTTGGTCTCTGATCTCTGATCTCTCTCTCTGATCTCTCTCCCTAGTCATTATCGCCTCTCTCTGGTCTCCATCCATCGTTGTAAAGAGGAGGATCAAGGGACAAAGCATGCATGTGTTTGCGTGTGTATGTATGTGTGTGTGTGTGCATATGTGTATGTGTGTTGGGGTTACCCAGTGAAGACAAAATGGCAGCAGCTCCCAGACACACCTTGACCCCTGGCCTTACAGACACAAGACATGCTGTCCTTATTGGTTGAACGGGATGTACTCTAACTGAATGTGAAACACCTGCTACATCAATGTAGAGGAAGTCAAAACATCACATCCTTTCAATCTTTAACTTCCTTCATACTCCCTTTTCTCTATCCCCTCTCCCACTTACTTTTTCACTCTCAGTCCCACTTCTCTGTCTCTGTCTCTCTGTCTCTCTGTCTCTCTGTCTCTCTGTCTCTCTGTCTCTCTGTCTCTCTCTCTCTCTGTCTCTCTGTCTCTCTCTCTCTCTCTCTCTCTCTCTCTCTCTCTCTCTCTCTCTCTCTCTCTCACTCTCTCTCTCTCTTCCCCACTCTCGCTCCCTCTCTCTCCCCCACTCTCTCTCACACTCTCTCTCTCTCCCCCCTCACTCTCACTCTCCCCCACCCCCACTCTCTCTCCCACTTTCTCCCCCACTCTCTCTCCACTCTTTCTCCCACTCTGTCCATTTCTATGCCTCTTTAACCCTCACTCTCCTTGCTCTCTCTTTCTCTCTTCCGCTGACCCCTCTCTGAATAGGAGCCCCAGGGTAGGAGGCCGAGCCAGACAGACTGCTCTTTGTGAGGGGGAGAAAGGCTGCTCAGGGGGCTAACCCCTGGATTGTTTAAGGGGCTTGGTTCCTCACTCCAGCTTAAATACAAACACACATACACACAGGGGTCTTGGGACACAAGGGACACAAGCAAATGTACACAAAGCTCCCTCAAACTACACACACACCACACACACACACCTAATCCGGAAATATAACAATTGGAGACAGCATCACTTTTCTTTCCAGTATGGGTCCACTGGGTGACTTTCTCCCTCTTTCTCAGAGAGAAACAGAGATGGAGACAGAAATAGAGATCAGAGGGACGGGTGATTCTGACACATTGACTTGGATTGGGACTATTTCTTTAATGGTGGAAGTGGTAGCAGGAGGGGTGGGGGAAAGACAGAAAAAGAGAGAGAAGATAGAAAGGGAGAGGGAGATGACTCCATGGCTCATTGACCCCTGTATAACCTAATCAGTAGAAGAAGGGAGAGGGGGTAGATAAAGAGATAAAGACAGAGTAAAGTGGAGGAGAGAAGAGAAGAGTACTAAGGTTCTGTGTGTGTTTCTTCTTACCTGGCGCCCTTCTCCTATCCAGAGAATGCTGCTGGTCTTGGTGGGAGTGGGGGCGATGGTGACTACAGGAGGGGTGGAGGGAAGGCTGTGTCCCCGGGTCTGGAGCGGCCCTGACAACCCCCTCTTAGGAGTGTTGACTGGAGAACTGAGACTGGTGGCTGGAGAGGAGACTGGAGACTCACTATTGGGAGAAGAACCTAGGAGAGAGAGAGAGAGAGAGAGAGAGAGAGAGAGAGAGAGAGAGAGGGGGGGGGGGGGGGGGGGGAATAGCACGACAAAGAGGCCATCAGAAAGCCATTACTGTAAAAATGAGACGTCTCACTAATCAACACACACACAAGCATGCACACGCACGCACGTAAACACACACACACACAGACACACACACACACACACACAAAAGCAGCTAATGGGGCTCATCCTAGATGGAGATGACAGAGAGAGAAAGAGAGAGGAAGAGGGAGAGAGTGGGAGAGAGATGGCAGGGGAGAGTGATGCCAGAAAAACAAATGGAAGAGATGAGTGAAAGAGAGAGGGATAATATAAAGGAGAGAGTGTAAGGGAGAGGGAGAGAGAGAACGAGAGAGTGAGTGGGAGTGAGAGAGAAGGAAAGAAAGGGAGAGAGGGAGAGTGTAATAGCAGGTAATTACCTGCATTAGGAGCTAACACACAAACACGGATGGATGGATTTTGTATAGATGATATTGTCTGTCCTGAGGTAAGAGGAGGCGGGGTCACTGTCCTAACCTCTGGGGTCTTCAGCCTGTTTGGCCAGTTGACGGAGAGCGGCAGCGAATCCGGAGTGAGCAGACTGAGCAGCCGCACTCCCATTGGCTAGTGGGGTAAGAGGATTGACCGTCGCTGTGGTGTGAGTTGCCGTGGAGATCATTCCTAATGACCGCGACTTTGACTCATGGCTCATACCTGGAAAGATAGAGAGGGAGGATGGGAGGACAAAACAGTGAAACGAGGGAAGGGAAGGTAGAGAAAGAAGGGAAAAAGAGAGGAATATGTAGCCTTTTTGGATTCTCTCTATCATAATAGAACAGTGTGTGTGTGTGACAGCTCTGAGAGATGGGGAAGGAGCTGAGGTCAGGTATCAGGTCAGAGGTCAGGTTAGTCTGTCAGAGCCGTGACAATGACACACACACAGGCACGCAAGCACACACACACACACACACACACACACACACACACACACACACACACACACACACACACACACACACACAAACACACACACACACACACACACACAAACACACACTGACATTATTAGTGTTCCCCCACTGCCCTCCCAGTGACCCACATACAGCTATTAGTACTGAATTTAACCCAAGCATCATACACTCTACCGCCCCCCCACCCCTTTGACAGACAGAGACAGACACACACACTCAGATCCTTACAGCTGCATGTGTGTTGAGACATCGCCACATCCTCTCTCTCCTCTCTCTCCTCTACCCTCCTCTCCCTCCTTCCTCTCTCTCTCCCTCTATCTCTCTCCTATTCCCCCTCCTTTAGCCTCTTCTCTCTCTGTTTCTCTAACATGCTCTTGAGCTTATTTAGCCAAATAACTCACAAAACCTGCATGCACACTATGCCTCTATATTTCCCTTCCATGCTCTCTTGGGTTTGTTTCTCTTTTCTCTCTCTCACTCAGTGGGTCTCTTTCTCTCTCACACAAATACATACACACTGATACACATGCTCACCACACCAGGCAAACATACACTAGGACATAACAAACAAACACTCACCGGCTCCCTGTTCTTCCAGCTTGCATTATCTCTTCTCTCACGCTCTCTTTCCCTTTCACACTCTCACTCTTTCTTCTTCACGCTCCGTCTCTCTCTCATTCCCTCTCTCTCGCCGCCCCTCTCTCTTGTTCTCTCTGTCTCTCGTTCTCACTCATTCTCTCGGTCTTGTTCTCCCTCCTCCAGGAACAGCCCTCTCAGTCATGCAGCTGCTACAATATCACGTGATTCCCTCACTTTCTCCCCCTCCCTCCTACTCCCCCTTCCTGTCTACCCCCTCCCTCTCACACCTCCAACGCCCTCTGCTCTTCTCCCTCTCTCCTCCCCCACGCCTAAGAATGAGGAGGAGCAGGAGGAAGAGGATGGAGGGAGGAGGAGTAGCAGGGGTAGACGTCATCCATCACTCTGTCTCCACACATCAGCCCCGTCTGCTGCAGGGGCCCTGACAATGACATCTCACCCCTGAGCCCTGAGTCTATGCGTGGCCAGGGGGACAGGGGCTGATGAGGGATGGTGGAGTGTTTAGAGTGGACAACATGACATCCCAGCACTTACACACACATATAAACAAAAAATAACTCAGCCCTTTGTCTCTCTTACGCACACACACACACAGACACACAGACACACACACACACACACACACACACACACACACACACACACACACACACACACACACACACAGTGTGTGGCAGGGGACCTGCTCTGCCCTTTGTGTGTGTGTGTGGCAGGTTAGCGTTTTTCGTCATGAATCTTGTTCTGGAGGCAGCTCTGCTGAGTGGTCACTCTCTGGCACAGGCACAAAGTCATAAAATCTTTTAAACCTAACCCTAACCTTAACCCTAACCTTAACCACACTGCTAACCCTAATAACCTAAACAAAAAAAAGTTGCCTGAATTTGTACAATATAGCCAATTTTGACTTTCCAGCTGGCCCATCTAGTGGAAATCGCTCAGTTCTGCCTCAAGGACAAGACTCATCCCAATAAACGTCGACCTGTGTGTGTGTGTGTGTGTGTGTGTGTGTGTGTGTGTGTGTGTGTGTGTGTGTGTGTGTGTGTGTGTGTGTGTGTGCGTGCGTGCGTGCGTGTATCATTAGGATTGGTAAACAAGCAATTACACTGCCCATGCTCATTAACCCTGAGAGTATGTGTGTGTTATTTCCTGCTCTGTCATTACACCACGGAAGGGAATGGAACACACACACTGTAAACACCCCTCCCTCCTCCCTCCATTTCAGTTTTATACAGTAGCTGGCAGAGTATTTTATGTTCTACTTACACGGAGAGTAGGGTCAGAGCCAAATGTTTGCAACCCTCGTAATCATGTCTGTAATATAAATTCGGAGTACAGTGTGTGTGTGTGTGTGTGTGTGTTTGCATGAGGAATTTTTATCTCTCAAATTAACAGCCTCAATCACACAACATTATGACGTCAGTTACTGACATCTAAGCACACACATTAATAAACACAGTAACACACACACACACACACTATCTGCTGATTCAGTATTTGTGCATCATGCGTCACACAATGTATGGCCCTAACCAGCTAATCTCCAGGGACTGCCAGCTAGCATCTTCAGCCCATTACTAGATAACTAATGTATTGTGCAAACAATACAGTACATACAGTGCAACACTGAAAACACACACACACACACATATATATATATATATATACTGTACAGACATAAAATGATTTTAAAGTACAAACAAAACATTACACAAAACATCAACAAACAACTAAATAGAGCTTAGTTATAAATAAGATAGTAATGGTAATATTTCAACAAATATTATGGTTAAACTCAAATATACTAATTGATAAAAAAAACAATATATATATACTGTATATATATATTTTTTTAATCATCTTTGTAAATTATATCATACATAGAACTGGTGGAGTTAAGTCACACATGCAGCTAACAAAAATATATGGAAAAGTCTGCTCTACTCGAAATTACAACCATCTAATTGCAGCATTGCTACAAAAATGGAAGAGGCAATTGGAAGGGGGAGAAAGTAAGGAAGTTGTCTGTCGGCCCTGCATTAAAGACCAAAATTGGCTAAAGAAAATTGTGATAAATAAAAAAGTATACTAGTTTCATTTAAGGACAAAAAAATGGACAGTTGTGCCATATAGATTGCAAAACAGTTGGGAAGAGATTTTCGATGTACCGATTCCATGGCACATGGTTTATGAACTGATACACAAAACGACGCTGGATTCAAAACTTAGAGCAACCAATATAATGTTATATACAGTTGAAGTCGGAAGTTTACATACACTTAGGTTGGAGTCATTAAAACTAGTTTTTCTTCCACTCCACAAATTTCTTGTTAACAAACTATAGTTTTGGCAAGTCGGTTAGGACAGCTACTTTGTGGATGACACAAGTCATTTTTCCAACAATTGTTTACAGACAGATTATTTCACTTATAATTCACTGTATCACAATTCCAGTGGGTCAGAAGTTTACATACACTAAGTTGACTGTGCCTTTAAACAGCTTGGAAAGTTCCAGAAAATGATGTCATGGCTTTAGAAGCTTCTGATAGGCTAATTGACATCATTTGAGTCAATTGGAGGTGTACCTGTGGATGTATTTCAAGGCCTACCTTCAAATTCAGTGCCTCTTTGCTTGACATCATGGGAAAATCAAAAGAAATCAGCCAATACCTCAGAAAAAAATGTGTAGACCTCCACAAGTCTGGTTCATCCTTGGGAGCAATTTCCAAACGCCTGAAGGTACCACGTTCATCTGTACAAACAATAGTACGCAAGTATAAACACCATGGAACCACGCAGCCGTTATACCGCTCAGGAAGGAGACGCGTTCTGTCTCCTAGAGATTAACGTACTTTGGAGTGAAAAGTGCAAATCAATCCCAGAACAACAGCAAAGGACCTTGTGAAGATGCTGGAGCAAACAGGTACAAAAGTAAAACGAGTCCTATATCGACATAACCTGAAAGGCCGCTCAGCAAGGAAGAAGCCACTGCTCCAAAACCGCCATAAAAAAGCCAGACTACGGTTTGCAACTGCATATGGGGACAAAGATCGTACTTTTTGGAGAAATGTCCTCTGGTCTGATGAAACAAAAATAGAACTGTTTGGCCATAATGACCATCGTTATGTTTGGAGGAAAAAGGCGGCAGCTTGCAAGCTGAAGAACACCATCCCAACCGTGAAGCACAGGGGTGGCAGCATCATGCTGTGGGGGTGCTTTGCTGCAGGAGGGACTGGTGCACTTCACAAAATAGATGGCATCATGAGGAAGGAAAATTATGTGGATTTATTGAAGCAACATCTCAAGACATCAGTCAGGAAGTTAAAGCTTGGTCGCAAATGGGTCTTCCAAATGGACAATGACCCCAAGCATACTTCCAAAGTTGTGGCAAAATGGCTTAAGGACAACAAAGTCAAGGTATTGGAGTGGCCATCACAAAGCCCTGACCTCAATCCTATAGAACATTTGTGGGCAGAACTGAAAAAGCGTGTGCGAGCAAGGAGGCCTACAAACCTGACTCCGTTACACCAGCTCTGTCAGGAGGAATGGGCCAAAATTCACCCAACTTATTGTGGGAAGCTTGTGGAAGGCTACCCGAAACGTTTGACCCAAGTTAAACAATTTAAAGGCAATGCTACCAAATACTAATTGAGTGTATGTAAACTTCTGACCCACTGGGAATGTGATGAAATAAATAAAAGCTGAAATAAATCATTCTCTCTACTATTATTCTGACATTTCACATTCTTAAAATAAAGTGGTGATCCTAACTGACCTAAGACTGGGAATTCTTACTAGGATTAAATGTCAGGAATTGTGAAAAACTGAGTTTAAATGTATTTGGCTAAGGTGTATGTATGTAAACTTCCGACTTCAACTGTATATGGGGGATACAACCATCCCAGCTCTGCAGATTTTGCTGCGAATAATCATTATATCATTTGTTTTGGTACTGTCCATATGTAGCTTGTTTTTGGTCGCAGGTTCCGGAATGGATGAAGAATTGTAACATTTACCTGGAGCTAACTCTGCAAATAGCACTGCTGGGTGATTTAAAAAGTCATAGTCAACTGATCAATAATCTAATAATACTCTTAGCAGAATCTTATGTATAATCTATGAGAATATAAAGGTTCAAACCCTATCATCCATAGGGTTAAGGGAAAATAATAAAGGAAATAAAAAATATATATAAGATAGTAATGGCAGCATAAGAAGACTTTAAACCCTGTAATAGCATGTAGCCAATAAAACTATTTTAACTGCTGTAGACTCCATGGAACCAGTTTATTACCATACAGGCTACTGTCCTGTTAGGAGAGAGGAGAGGAAAGAGAGAGAGAGAGAGAGAGAGAGAGAGAGAGAGAGAGAGAGAGAGAGAGAGAGAGAGAGAGAGAGAGAGAGAGAGAGAGAGAGAGAGAGAGAGATGATCATGATCAAGTGACATTAGCATATCAATAATTAACGTTTACCCCTCCCATACGAATATAAAAGTACAGTAACGTTATCATACAGTGTCATTAATATTTTAATATATGCTACACATCTAGGTTATGTTAGCTAGAAAGCTAGATAGCTAAACAAAATCATTTCTGCATCCTCACATAAATGTACTGTAGCTGAATGCTGACATTTAGCTGAATCTTAGCAAGACAGGAGCTCTTAGGCTTACACTATCTACCATATTAAAGTTATCTTAGAGCAAACCAGGCTTCATTTGATCAATTTCATGGAAGTCATTATGAGGTAAAAGCAAATTGCGACTGAAAACGTTGATAATTCCCTGGGGCCTCATTTATAACCGTTGTGTAAATATCACACAAAATTTCTGCGTGCGCCATTTCTGAAAGTTTGCGAACATACAAAAATATAGAGATTTATAAACTTGGCACATGCCATACATACACGTTTCCCATTATAAATCAGACCTGTCATAAAATTGTGCGTGCGTGAACGAGCATTAAAACTCTGGAAAACAACTCCCCTATCCTTTTATGGTGACAATAACACCCTTTAGTTGCTGTATCATTTGGAACTATTGGAATTAGTCCACGGCATGCAAAAGACAAATTGTTGTTCAATATTTAGTTAATGAATAGATTATTGGGTTTATATGTCCTGCCTTGGTATAGGCTCTGAGATTAAATAGGCAATGATGTCGCGCTCCTATAGCACAGCAATACTGTAGCCTATACCCATACTGTCAAATATTTTACATATACTACCAGTCTATTTACTGTGTTGGCAGAATGTTTTAATCTTTTGCAGTAATTTATGCTCTATCTGGAAAATAACTGTGTCAGTTTCTGAATGAGAAAACAAATTGTTGTGGCCCTGTCAATGAATCGATTGAATTCAACAATGTTTTATATCAACTTTTACCCCAACCTAAATATGGTGGACTGCCCCCGAATTCTGAAACATTGTAGGGCAGATTACAAAAAAATGCAATTACAGTACTTACAGTAGTTACAGTACTTACAGTACTTACAGTAGTTACAGTACTTACAGTACTTACAGTAATTACAGTACTTACAGTACTTACAGTACTTACCGTTCTATTTCTCATGTGTTTTTGTTCTACTTGATTATTATTATTTTTTTACATTAGTACTAATATTCATTACTGCATTGTTGGGAAAGAGCAAGTAAGGCTTTGATTTCACTGTACTTGTGCACGTGACAATAAAAACTTGAAACTTAGGCCTAATTCAATGTAAAAGATCAGCTGTTAAATGCAACTGTATACCGGTATTATAAACCCCTCTACCTATGATATTGCAAAACTTGAATTACATATAGCCTATCTATTTACTAGGTTTCTAGGTCCAATTAAATAAAAAATGGACATGGTAATTTGTTGTATGGCTCATTCGGAATATAAACCCATCACGGCCAGAAACGGTGAGGAATACTGTATATTCTGCAATGGTTATAAATATAAATAGGAAATAGATTCCTATGCCTAATTATTTTAGATTCTAAAAGTAAAACACAGATTTTCGCTCTTCTCATTAATGCCAAATGGTTGTCACGATCGTTTACTGATGATACGGACCAAGGCACAGCATGATAAGCGTACATATTTATTAGTACTTAACACACGAACCAAAACAACAAACAAACGATACGTGAAGTCCTAGGTTTCCAAAACAAACCTTAACGGAACAAGATCCCACACCGACTAGTGCCAAACAGGCTGCCTAAGTATGGTCCCCAATCAGAGACAACGAGATACAGCTGCCTCTGATTGGGAACCACCCTGGCCAACATAGATCTAAACGGTCTAGCACATCAACATAGAAAATAAGACATAGAAACTCCACACCCTGGCTCAACATTTAAGAGTCCCCAGAGCCAGGGTGTGACAATGGTTGTATTCTTGTTAATATGTTTTCCTGGTTTTGTTTTTTTGTGAATAAGCTTTTCATCATATCCCCCATTTGCACAAAATACTTACTTGCCAGCTTGCAATTCAATATTTTAACCACTAACAGATGTGCATACGGATGGTCTAAAGTTTGTGGGGAGGTGAGCACATTCTCACATAAAGTTTTCAGTAAAACATATATATATGATATCGCAATTAAATAAATGCTTCCCTCTTTCCTGCAATTTTCCCTATCGTTAGTTATGTTACCCTGACCTTTACTGCCTTTTTTCCAGTTGCAAGTTTTGGCACATTCATTCCAGCAACATAGCATCCTGCATTCCACTGCTGGTTTACTTCTGAAGCTAAGCAGGGTCGGTCCATGGATCAGAAACCAGATGTAGCTGGAAGTAGTGAAAATAATCATGTGTACAAATAAATGTGAAGAAATATATCACGTGGGGATTTATTTTCTTCACGACACCTATCCAGTCCTTTCACCTAGGATCAAGTAATGAAAGAAAGCTAGGAAGCCAGGAAAAGAGAGAGCAATAAAGGGAAAGAGAGGAGGGAGGGATAGGGAGGTTGTACAATTGGGACTGAGCCAATAGCTCCGGTTCTGTTCCTGTAGTCTCCCACTGGAGAACAATAATATAACCATTCTATGGGCAGTTTGTCAGCATAATCACACTGTTATCACTGCTTCTGTGATAAGAGCTGCTTATCATTGTCTCTAGGATTAGGAGAGCTCTCATGAAACAGTTCTATATTCTCTCTCTCTCTCTCTCTCTCTCGCTCTCAATTCAGTTCAGCTCAATTGAAATGGGCTTTATTGGCATGGGAAACATACGTTTACATTGCCAAAGCAAGTTTCTCTCTCTCTCTCTCTCTCTCTCTCGCTCGCAATTCAGTTCAGCTCAATTGAAATGGGCTTTATTGGCATGGGAAACATACGTTTACATTGCCAAAGCAAGTTTTTCTCTCTCTCTCTCTCACTCTCAATTCAGTTCAGCTCAATTGAAATGGGCTTTATTGGCATGGGAAACATAAGTTTACATTGCCAAAGCAAGTTAAATAAACAATAAACAAAAGTGAGAAGAAACAAAAAAGAACATCAACAAAAAACATTAAAACATTTACAGTAAACATTGCACTCATAAAGGTTTTAAAAGAATAGAGATGTTTCAAATGTTATATTATCAGCTATGTACAGTGTTTTTAACAATGTGTAAATAGTTGTAGTACGAATAGTAGGGGAAGATAAGTCAACAGATCAATATTGGTTGTATTTACAATGTTCTTTGTGCTCCACTTGTTGCCCTGTTTTCATGGCAACGGGCCACAAATATTGCTGCTGTGATTGCACATTGCAGTGTTTCGCCTAACAGATATGGGAGTTTATCAAGGTTTGATTTGTTTTCAAATTCTTTATGGGTCTGTGTGATCTGTTGGAAATGTGTGTCTCTAATATGGTCATACATTTGGCAGGAGGTTAGGAAGTGCATTTCAGTTTCCACGTCATTTTGTGGGAAGTGTGCACATAGCCTTTCTTCTCTCAAGAGCCAGGTCTGCCTATGGTGGCCTCTCTCAAAAAGAAGGCTATGCTCACTGACTCTGTACATAGTCAATGATTTTATTTGTTTAGGGCCAGATAGCATTCCAGTTTGCTCTGTTTTTTGGTTGATTCTTTCCAGTGTGTGAAATAGTTATCTTTTTGTTTTCTCATAATGTGTTTGGGTCTAATTGTGTTTCTGTCCTGGGGCTCTGTGGGGTCTGTTTGTGTTTGTGAACAGAGACCCAGAACCAGCTGGCTGAGGGGACTCTTCTCTAGGTTCATCTCTCTGTAGGTGAGGGCTTTGTGGTGGAATGTGTGGGTATCGCTCCCTTTTAGGGGGTTGTAGAATTTAACAGATATTTTCTGGATTTTGATAATTTGTGGGTATATTCCTAATTCTACTCTGCATGCATTGTTTTTGGTTTTGCATTGTACATGAAGGATATTTTCGCAGAATTCTGCATGGAGAGTCTCAAATGGGTGCTCGTCCCATTTTGTGAATGCTTGGTTAGTGAGTGGACCCCAGACCTCACAACCATAGAGAGCAATGGGGGTTCTATAACTGATTGAAGTATTTTTAGCCAGATCCTAATTGGGATGTCGAGCCCTTCTTGCCTTGTCTTTTAAATAATTCAGAGCCTTGTGGAAGTTACCTGTGGTGTTGATGTTTAGGCCGAGATAGCACAGGAGGTTGGTGGCACCTTAATTGGGGAGGACGGGTGCATGGTAATGGCTGAAGCCGAATGAGTGGAATGGTATCAAATACATCAAACACATGGTTTCCATGTGTTTGATGCCATTCCATTTGCCCCAGCCATTTTTATGAGCCGTCCTCCCCTCAGCAGCCTCCTGTGCGAGGTAGGTATAATTATTTGTGTGCTTAGGGCAACGGTATCTAGATAGTATTTGTATTTGTTGTCCTGGCAAATTAACTTTTTTTGGAACACCATTATTTTTGTCTTACTGAGATTTACCGTTAGGGCCCAAGTCTGACAGAATCTGTGCAGAAGGTCTAGGTGCTGCTGTAGGCCCTCCTTGGTTGGGAACAGAAGCACCAGATCAGTATGGTGAGGCTAGGTGCTGCAGACTGCTCTAGTGCCCTCACCAATGGGGCTCAAGCTGCATCCCTGTCTCACCCCATTTTTATTTTATTTTACCAGGCAAGTCAGTTAAGAACTAATTCTTATTTACAATGACGGCCTACACCAGCCAAACCCGGACGACGCTGGGCCAATTGTGCGCCGCCCTATGGGACTCCCAATCACGGCCGGTTGTAATAAAGCCTTGAATCGAACCAGGGGGTCTGTAGTGACGCCTCAAGCACTGAGATGCAGTGCCTTAGACCGCTGCACCACTCGGGAGCCCATAACTCTGTGGAAAGAAATCTGTGTGTTTATTGCCAATTTTAACTGCAGACTTGTTGTTTGTGTACATTGATTGTATAATATCGTACGTTTTCCCCCAACACTCCTTTCCATCCATTTGCATAGCAGACCCTCATGCCAAATTGAGTCAAAAGCTTTTTAGAAATCAACAAAGCATGAGAAGACTTTGCTTTCATTTTGGTTCGTTTTTTTTATCAATTAGGGTGTGCAGGGTGTATACGTGGTCTGTCGTACAATATTTTGGTAAGAAGCCAATTTGACATTTGCTTAAGACATTGTTTTCACTGAGAACATTTTGGAGTCTGCTGTTGATGATACTGCAGAGGATTTTTCAGAGGTTACTGTTGACGCAGATTCCAGAGCTGAGGATAATGTTGAAGAGTTTAAGAATAGTCCATTTTAATTTGTGGTCTGTATATTTTATCATTTTGTTTAGTATACCATCAACACCGCAGGCCTTTTTGGGTTGGAGGGTTTGTATTTTGGCCTGTAGCTCATCCAATGTAATTGGAGAATACAGTGGTTTCTGGTAGTCTTTAATAGCTGATTCTAGGTTTTGCAAATGATCATGTATATGTGTTTGCTCTTGGTTTTTTGTTATATGGCCGAAAATGCTGGAGAAGTGGTTCATCCATAAATCTCAATTTTGGATAGATAACTCTTCGTGTTGTTGTTTGTTTAGTTTGTTCCATTTTTCCCAGAAGTGATTTGATTCTATGGATTCTTCAATCACATTGAGCTGTTTTCTGACATGCTGTTCCTTCTTTTTTCTTAGTGTATTTCTTTACTGTTTTAGTGTTTCCCCATAGTGAAGGCGTAGGTTCTGATTTTCTGAGTCTCTGTGTGTTTGGTTGGAGAGGTTTCTCAATTTCTTTATTAGGTTTTTGCATTCTTATTGTTATTAGTTTTCTTAGGTTTTCTGCTAGAATTGTTTTAATTTGATATGTTAGCTGATAGGTCAAATATACTGTCCATTGCATCTATACCATGTTTCTTGCAGTCTGGGTTCCTGCTTTTTAGGCCAAAGGCAGATGACCTCTCAGACCTTGTATATTCCAGGATGAGATAGTAAAATCTTTGTGTTCCAGTGTTGTTTTCGTGTGGTTTAGGCTCTGACAATTACAGTAGGTTTGAGTAGAGCATGCTGAGCATCTGATACATGCCTCTTAGGTCGCAGGATGGGGCTTGGGTGGGTGTAGTGATACATATTGGGTTTGTTGCTCTGCTCACCACCTGGGCATATGTGTGATTGTCACATTGAGGTCCTCGTTGTGGGGGTTGGGAGCATGGGAGGGGCAGGAGGGACGCAGGCCTATATGGGTTGTGGCCTTGGTTGGTTTGGGAGGGTGTTAACTGGTTGGGGTGGGGGGGTGTGGATGTGCCTGGTGGTGCTGTGGTCTCGATATAGGTCCTCTCGGCGTGGGTCCTCTCGACGTGGGTCCTCTAGGTGCAGGTTCATGGGGGGGCCTCGCAGGTCTGGGCGGGGTGTCCATTGCTCTGTTGCTCCTGTGTGAGGTGCTGGGGCCGCGGTTGAGGACGATATCTTTCAGAGTCCTTGCAAAAGTAGGGACTGTTGCCTTGTATAGGTGGACCTGGTCGTAAAGACTGTTGAAGTCCAGGGTGGAGTGGTGGGCCAGGTAAACATTTGTTTTTGAGGCACAGTCACGGGAAATGCTTGCTTTTACCCTCTGTATGGTAGCAGGGTGAAAGTATTTTCGTGGTAACAGGGTGGAGATAACCCCTTGTGAGTTGGAGAAAGTGGAAGAAGCTTTTTCAATCACTGCCTTGAGTGGTGGCCACCCTTTCCTGCTGTGCTCTCAGGTCGTCTGTGCCTGTGTGAATTATTATGTGGCTGGGTGACCCTAGTTGGTCTTCAGATAGCAGGTCTAGGGCACACTGTGTGTATGGGCACCAGAGTTTAGCCACTGTGTGTTTGGGAGTTTAGCTGTGTGTCTCTCTCTCTTCCTTGCTCCCTCTTTCTTTCTCTGTGTGTGTTGTGTTTGCTCAGGAGGTTGTGGTCTAACCACAGTGGGTTGACACCTGGTTACCCAGCCTTAGGGTCTAGGACTGACTGTCTGTATCTCAGCGGTCTACAGCGGAATCATCATCATCTTGTCTCTCCTCTCCACACAAACATACTTACACACACCACAACACACAGACTGCTCCTCACAGACAGGTGTTTAATACAGAGAGTACCAATAGGTAAAGGAAGCTGGTGCATTCAAACATTAAGTCATACAACTGAGTAACTTTACTATGTTTTTAGCATAAATAACTGGAACAATGTATTAGATCAGGGTTCTTCAATTCCGGTCCTGGAGGGCCGAAACACTTCTGTTTTTTATTTCTACCTGGTAGTTAATTGCACTCACCTGGTGTCCCAGGTCTGAATTAGCCCCTGATTAGAAGGAGAGGATGAAAAACAGAGGTGTTTCGGCCCTCCAGGACCAGAATTGAAGAACCCTGTATTAGATGGTATGATTATAATCTGCTCATAAAACATTATTGGTTCATTTGTTTACCATTTGTAAGTTGTTTGTAAATCATTATCATACCAAATCAAAGTGCAGAGCTAAGAATTAAAATAGAATAGGCCTATACAGTTTTGTAAAGTGAAGTGAACGGTAAAGCACCCAGCCAGGTCGTTAAATATTGACTTTGAAATTGGATGTCTATCCATTTCCTGAGGATGTCGGGAAATGCCTTAAAAACCGGACACTAGGGGCAACAGTGAGTGCTATTACCATCAAGTAGGTGAGTAAATAATCGCATGACTCAGGATCATAAGGTTGCGTGTTCGATCCCAGTTGTAATCACATTACTCTAGATCTGAAGATCGTGTCTTCGATCCCAGTCGTGGATACTGTTTTTAATTAAAAAATATATATATTTTAACCCTATCCCCAACCTTAACCCTTCCCTTAACCATTCGGAATGAGTGCCTAAACTTAACCCTTAACTTTGACATTTGATGTTTGGAGAAATGGAACGATACAGAGCAGCAGGAGGAACGATACAGAGCAGCGGGAGGAACGATACAGAGCAGCAGGAGGAACGATACAGAGCAGCGGGAGGAACGATACAGAGCAGCAGGAGGAACGATACAGAGCAGCGGGAGGAACGATACAGAGCAGCAGGAGGAACGATACAGAGCAGCGGGAGGAACGATACAGAGCAGCAGGAGGAACGATACAGAGCAGCGGGGAGGAACGATACAGAGCAGCAGGAGGAACGATACAGAGCAGCGGGAGGAACGATACAGAGCAGCAGGAGGAACGATACAGAGCAGCGGAGGAACGATACAGAGCAGCAGGAGGAACGATACAGAGCAGCAGGAGGAACGATACAGAGCAGCGGGAGGAACGATACAGAGCAGCAGGAGGAACGATACAGAGCAGCAGGAGGAACGATACAGAGCAGCAGGTGGAACGATACAGAGCAGCAGGAGGAACGATACAGAGCAGCAGGAGGAACGATACAGAGCAGCAGGAGGAACAATACAGAGCAGCAGGAGGAATGATACAGAGCAGCAGGAGGAACGATACAGAGCAGCGGGAGGAATGATACAGAGCAGCGGGAGGAACGATACAGAGCAGCGGGAGGAACAGAAACACTTTGTTTTTGACATTTGGAGAACGTGGATGAATGTCTAATTCTGCAGTGAGATTGTGAGAGCTTGTTGAATGGACCAGTGTAGTCCAGGCAGACACCAGTGCCCGGCAGGTAGCCTAGCAGTTAAGAGCTTTGGGCCAGTAACTGAAAGGTCACTGGTTTTAATCACTGAGCCGCCTAGGTGAAAAATCTGTTGATGTGCTCTTGAACAAGGCACTTAACCCTAATTGCTCCTGTAAGTTCCTCTGGATAAGATTGTCTGCTAAAATGCAACATTTTTATGAAGCCTACAGGAGAGGAGACTTGTTGGTTTAGTGTAGGCTACTCTACCCCTGCTGAACAGCTGCTCTATAGCAGGTCAGCTGCACATTGTGTGTGTGTGTGTGTGTGTGTGTGTGTGTGGTGTGTGTGTGTGTGTGTGTGTGTGTGTGTGTGTGTGTGTGTGTGTGTGTGTGTGTGTGTGTGTGTGTGTGTGTGTAATGGCGTATCTCTTCTGCTGCTCCACACCTGCTACAGCTGTGTGTTACTGTGTAGTTGCTGTGGCAAATTGTGGCAGCATGTGTATCTACCCATCTGTGGGAAAGTGTGTGTGTGTGTGTGTGTTTGGCCTACTCCACCTGCGGGCTGTGTAGCCTACACACAAAATGTATGTGATCCGTTTGAATGCAGAGTAATGAGGCCGGCGGCATTAATGCAGATAAACATTATGCTGCTGTTAAAGGTCCCGTCTACCTACAGAGGAACTTACGTAACATACACCCTCATGAGTAGCTACTCGTCATAGAGTAATGACTTTCCAACCCCACAGCTAAACAAGACGACTTGCTTGGCCCTCTGTTTGACTAAAGACTAGTTTGGCAGCTACTGAACTTCGACAGCAAACATTGACACAAGTTGTTATAGGTAATAGGCTAGGCTACGCTTCATTCTATAATAGAAAAAAACATAAAGGGTATTCAATTAATCATATAACACATACAACAAGAATGAGAGAGAGAGAGAGAGAGAGAGAGAGAGAGAGAGAGAGAGAGAGAGAGAGAGAGAGAGAGAGAGAGATCCTCACTACAGACATACCACACAGCGGTAGCATAGATGGAGAGCGCAGAGAGAAGACGACCGCGGCATCAGCAGTGCGTATCTTTCCCTCTATCTGATTCAATCAACTTCTGGAGCGATAACACACATTTCACACGTAGGCTAACCACAGAAATGAATGAGGTACACGAGCACTAATCGCCCATATAGTACTTCAACTAGTTTAGGCTACTTACCGCGTAAACACAGACGGTTAAATCCTCATTTTGCGTTAATCCCAGTATAGAAGAATAACCATCGGCTACCGCTGTCCCTTGGTATAGACTCAGATGAAACAGCGAGGTGCACTCTACCGCACTCTCTCTCTCTCTTGCGCGCGCTCTCATTCTCTCTCTCTCTCTCTCTCTCTCTCTCTCTCTCTCTCTCTCTATCTCTCTTTCTCTCTCTCTCTCTCTCTCTCTCTCTCAATTCAATTCATTTAACATTTAAGGGCTTTATTGGCATGGGAGACATATGTTTACATTGCCAAAACAAGTGAAATAGATAATAAACAAAAGTGAAATAAACAAAAAAATATTTACAGTAAACATTACACTCACAAAAGTTCCAAAAGAATAAAGGCATTTCAAATATCATATGTTATATTAGTTAAAGTACAAAAGGAAAATAAATAATCATAAATATAGGTTGTATTTACAATGGTGTTTGTTCTTCAATGGTTGCCCTTTTCTTGTGGCAACAGGTCACAAATCTTGCTGCTGTGATTGCACACTGTGGTTTTTCACCCAGTAGATAAGGGAGTTTATCCAAATTGGATTTGTTTTCAAATTCTTTGTGGGTCTGTGTAATCTGAGGGAAGTATGTGTCTCTAATATGGTCATACATTTGGCAGGAAGTTAGGAAGTGCAGCTCAGTTTCCACCTCATTTTGTGGGCAGTGTGCACATAGCCTGTCTTCTCTTGAGAGCCAGGGCTGCCTACGGCGGCCACTCACAATAGCAAGACTATGCTCACTGAGTCTGTACATAGTAAAATATTTCTTTAATTTTGGGTCAGTCACAGTGGTCAGGTATTCTGCCACTGTGTACTCTCTGTTTAGGGCCAAATAGCTTTCTAGTTTGCTCTGTTTCTTTTGTAAATTATTTCCAATGTGTCAAGTAATTATCTTTTTGTTTTCTCATGATTTGGTTGGGTCTAATTGTGTTGCTGTCCTGGGGCTCTGTGGGGTCTGTTTGTGTTTGTGAACAGAGCCCCAGGACCAGTTTGTTTAGGGGACTCTTCTCCAGGTTCATCTCTCTGTAGGTGATGGCTTTGTTATGGAAGGTTTGGGAATCTCTTCCTTTTAGGTGGTTGTAGAATTTAATGGCTTTGATAAATAGCGGGTATCGGCCTCAATTTGGTGTTTGTCCCATTTTGTGAATTCTTGGTTGGTGAGCGGACCCTAGACCTCACAACCATAAAGGGCAATGGGTTCTATAACTGATTCAAGTATTTTTAGCCAGATCCTAATTGATATGTCGAATTTTATGTTCCTTTTGATGGCATAGAAGGCCCTTCTTGCCTTGTCTCTCAGATCATTCACAGCTTTATGGAAGTTACCTGTGGCACTGATGTTTAGGCCGAGGTATGTATAGTTTTTTGTGTGCTCTAGAGCAACAGTGTCTAGATGGAATTTGTATTTGTGGTCCTGGCAAATGGACCTTTTTTGGAACACCATTATTTTTGTCTTACTGAGATTTACTGTCAGGGCCCAGGTCTGACAGAATCTGTGCAGAAGATCTAGGTGCTGCTGTAGGCCCTCCTAGGTTGGGGACAGAAGCACCAGATCATCAGCAAACAGTAGACATTTGACTTCAGATTCTAGTAGGGTGAGGCCGGGTGCTGCAGATGTTCTAGTGCACTCGCCAATTCGTTGATATTTATGTTGAAGAGGGTGGGGCTTAAGCTGTATCCCTGTCTCACCCCACGGCCCTGTGGAAAGAAATGTGTGTGTTTTTTGCCAATTTTAACCGCACACTTGCTGTTTGTATACATCGATTTTATAATGTCGGATGTTTTTCCCCCAACACCAATTTTCATCAATTTGTATAGCAGACCCTCATGCCAAATTGAGTCAAAAGCTTTTTTGAAATCAACAAAGCATGAGAAGACTTTGCCTTTGTTTTGGTTTGTTTGTTTGTCAATTAGGGTGTGCAGGGTGAATATGTGGTCTGTCGTACGGTAATTTGGTAAAAAGCCAATTTGACATTTGCTCAGTACATTGTTTGCACTGAGGAAATGTACGAGTCTGCTGTTAATGATAATGCAGAGGACTTTCCACAAAGTTGCTGTTGACGCATATCCCACGGTAGTTATTGGGGTCAAATTTGTCTCCACTTTTGTGGATTGGGGTGATCAGTCCTTGGTTCCAAATATTGGGGAAGATACCAGAGTTAAGGATGATGTTAAAGAGTTTAAGTATAGCCAATTGGAATTTGTGGTCTGTATATTTTATCATTTCATTGAGGATACCATCAACACCACAGGCCTTTTTGGGTTGGAGGGTTTGTATTTTGTCCTGTAGTTCATTCAATGTAATTGGAGAAGCCAGTGGGTTCTGGTAGTCTTTAATAGTTGATTCTAAGATTTGTATTTGATCATGTATATGTTTTTGCTGTAGGGCCAAAAATATTGTAGAAGTGGTTTACCCATACATCTCCATTTTGGATAGATAACTCTTTGTGTTGTTGTTTGTTTTCCAATTTTCCCAGAAGTGGTTAGAGTCTATGGATTCTTACATTTCTAACGCGCTGTGCCTTCTATTTCCATAGTGTATTTCTGTATTGTTTTAGTGATTCACCATTGTGAAGCCGTAGGCTCAGGTTTTCTGGGTCTCTATGTTTTTGGTTGGATAGGTTTCTCAATTTCTTTCTTAGGTTTTTGCATTCTTCATCAAACCATTTGTCATTGTTATAAATTTTCTTTGGTTTTCTGTTAGAATTTTTTTGATTTTATAGGGACGCTGAGAGGTCAAATATACTGTTTAGGTTTTCTACTGCCAAGTTTACATCTTCACTATTACAGTGAAACGTTTTGTCCAGGAAGTTGTCTAAAAGGGATTGAATTTCTTGTTGCCTAATAGTTTTTTGGTAGGTTTCTACACTACCTTCCTTCCATCTATAGCATATCTTAATATTATTCAGTTCCTTTGGCTTTGATGCCTCATGATTGAGTATTGCTCTGTTCAAGTACCGTAATTTTCAGACTATAAGCCGCGCCTTTTTTCCCATTTTTCGACCCTGCGGCTTATATAACGGTGCGGCTAATCTATGGATTTTTACAGCTAACGGCCACTAGAAGACCTCCTAAATCTATGGATTTTACAGGTTACAGTCCACCAACTTTAACTCTATGGGCTCTATGACCGGTCCGCGCCCCCCACCTTTAAGCGGCGGGCTCCAGCAGGAAAAGCTGGAGGCCGGAAAAGAGTGAGACAGGTAGCGCGCAAAAGTAAAAGTGGAACCGAGAGTGGTACGAGAGACAGAACGAGAGACAGAACGAGAGCAAGACAGACAGACATTACGAGAGCGAGACAGTTTGTGCAAAGGAAGTTTTCAAGCAGCCATCTCTTTCCCGACAATCCCCTCTGTGCACGAACCCTTACATATGGTAATTAAACATTAAAACACCTGCGGCTTATAGTCCAGTGCGGCTTATATATGTACACATCATTCAATTTAGCTGCTGCGGCTTATACTCCGGTGCGCCTTATAGTGCGGAAAATACGGTAGACTGTGATTTTGCTGTGATCTGATAGGAGTGTCAGTGGGCTGACTGTGAACGCTCTGAGAGACTCTGGGTTGAGGTCAGTGATAAAGTAGGCTACAGTACTACTGCCAATAGATTAGCTATACGTGTACCTACCATAGGAGTCTCCTCGAAGCCTACTATTGACTATGTACATACTCAGCGTGCGACAGAGCTGCAGGAGTTGTGACCCGTTTTTGTTGGTTATGTTGTCGTAGTTGTGCCTAGGGGGGCACATGGGGGAGGGAATGCTGTCACCTCCAGGTATGTGTTTAATAATAAACAAAAGAGAAATAAACAATCAGAAATTAACAGTAAATATTACACTCACAAAAGTTTCAAAAGAATAGAGACATTTAAAATGTTATGTTATGGCTATGTACAGTGTTGTCTCTTTCTCTCTCTCTCTCTCTCTCTGGCTGCGTGATCAAGAGGCAGGACTTTTCAGAGGGGGAGGGTGGGAGAGCAAGCACCTGCTCAAACGGACACACCCCTAGAGACACGGCCACAGACATCGAATACATTATATTACTGAAAGTCTATGGGCGATGTCCACTGTTAGGAATAAATCATCAGTATTTTGTTATCCTATATTGTCATCACCAGCCATCACCATGCAGTCACCACCGTGTAGGCTGAAGAGGCAGGCCCATTGCTTCATAGGCTATTCTACAGGTGACAACAAAGTAACTTACATAAAGTAGCTTACACATGCAGTCAGTCACCATATAAGCTAAAGAGGCAGGCCCATTGCTTCATATAGGGTATGCCTATTGCTATGCTACAGTGTATGAGTGCACCTCATCCATACAGTGCCTTCGGAAAGTATTCAGACCCCTTGACTTTTTCCACATTTTGTTACATTACAGCCTTATTCTCTAATTGATTAAATAGTTTTTTCCCCTCATCAATCTACAAACAATACCCCATAATGACAAAGTAAAAATAGGTTTTAAGAAATTATTGCTACTATTTTTTTTATTTTTATAATTAAATATTACATTTACATAAGTATTCAGACCCTTTACTCAGTACTTTGTTGAAGCACCTTTGGCATCGATTACAGCCTCGAGTCTTCTTGGGTATGATGCTACAAGCTTGCCACACCTGTATTTGGGAAGTTTCTCCCATTCTTCTCTGCAGATCCTCTCAAGCTCTATCAGGTTGGACGGGGAGCGTTACTGCACAGCTATTTTCAGGTCTCTCCAGAGATGTTTGATCGGGTTCAAGTCCGGCCTCTGGCTGGGCCACTCAAGGACATTCAGAGACTTGTCCCGAAGCCACTCCTGCATTGTCTTGGCTGTGTGCTTAGGGGCATTGTCCTGTTGGAAGGTGAACCTTCGCCCCAGTCTGAGGTCCTGAGCGCTCTGTAGCAGGTTTTCATCAAGGATCTCTCTCTGTACTTTGTTCCGTTCATCTTTGCCCTGATCCTGACTAGTCTCCCAGTCCCTGCCGCTGAAAAACATCCCCACAGCATAATGCTGCCACCACCATACTTCACCGTAGGGATGGTGCCAGGTTTCCTCCAGACGTGACGCTTGGCATTCAGGCCAAAGAGTTTAATCTTGGTTTCATCAGACCAGAGAATCTTGTTTCTCATGGTCTGAGAGTCTTTAGGTGCCTTGGCAAACTCCAAGCGGGCTGTCATGTGCCTTTTACTGAGGAGTGGCTTCCGTCTGGCACTCAACCATAAAGGCCTGATTGGTGGAGTGCTGCAGAGATGGTTGTCCTTCTGGAAGGTTCTCCCATCTCCACAGAGGAACTCTAGAGCTCTGTCAAAGTGACCATCGGGTTCTTGGTCACCTCCCTGACCAAGACCCTTCTTCCCCGAATGCTCAGTTTGGCTGGGCGGCCAGCTCTAGGAAGAGTCTTGGTGGTTCCAAACTTCTTCCATTTAAGAATGATGGAGGCCACTATGTTCTTGGGGACCTTCAATGCTGCAGAATGTTTTTTGCTACCCTTCCACAGATCTGTGCCTCGACACAATCCTGTCTCGGGGCTCTACGGACAATTCCTTCTACCTCATGGCTTGGTTTTTGCTCTGACATGCACTGTCAACTGTAGGACTTTATATAGACAGGTGTGTGCCTTTCCAAATCATGTCCAATCAATTGAATTTACCAAAGGTGGACTCCAATCAAGTTGTAGAAACATCTCAAGGATGATAAATGGAAACAAGATGCACCTGAGCTCAATTTCGAGTCTCATAGCAAAGTGTCTGAATACTTATGTAAATAACATATTTCTGTTTTTTATTTGGTATAAATTTGCTAATATTCTGAAAAACTGTTTTCTCCTTGTCATTATGGGGTATTTTGTGTAGAGTTAGGAGGGGAAAAAAAGAATTTAATCAATTCAAGAATAAGGCTGTAACATAACAAAATGTGGAAAGATTCAAGGGGTCTGAATACTTTCCGAAGGCACTGTATAGCCTAGAGAGGCAGAGAGAGCAATAGGAGAGAGAGTCAGGGAATAATAAAGTTGTACAACCCTGTACAGAGCCCAAATGTCTGGCTGTAATGTGTGCCACGTCTACAAGGCCCATGTGTGTTTTAGGGTAGTTGTAATACTTCTGTAATAGCATTGCCAGGCAGTAACTATTTGGTAAGACTCAGCACATTCGCACCCAGAACATGTATCACTTATCTCTACTGTGTCACAGGTAAGAGACAGCTTATAGGGAGGGACTATAAACTGATAGGGAGGGACTATAAATCAGTTACAGTATTAGATTAAAGTGATGGACACTTGGACTGAGAGATTGGTCATGTCTGGATGTGTTATCAGGAGGCGGAACACAAAGTGTCTTTGAGAAAAACGTCAATTTCTGGCGATCAGCCACATATGCCATGTAAAATAAATGAATGAGTGAATTCATAAATGAAAGGATGCCCTCTTTATGATCCCACCTCGTACACTTAACCATGATCCCACCTCGTACACTTCATAACCTGCCTCACCTATTATCTCCTCATTCTCTCCTAAGATACCTGCCTTCTCCCTTCTCCTTTCTCCCTCTCCCTCTCCCTCTCCCTCTCCCTCTCCCTCTCCCTCTCCCTCTCCCTCTCCCTCTCCCTCTCCCTCTCCCTCTCCCTCTCCCTCTCCCTCTCCCTCTCCCTCTCCCTCCCTCTCTCTCTCTCTCTCTCCCTCAGTCTGTCCGTTGTGATTGGTCTGTACGTTTCTCTCTTCTGTACCTTTTGGCCTCTCCCCTACCTTCCCTTCTCACTCTTTCCCTTCACATGTCACTCCCATCCTCCTTCTCGCCATCCTTCCATCTCCCTCTGTCTCCTGAGCAGCTGCTCCACTTCACAGCTATTTAACAGCTGTTTTGCATATATTTCCCTTCATAAATGCAGTTTTCTCTCTCTCTCTCTCTCTCTCTCTCTCTCTCTCTCTCTCTCTCTCTCTCCTTCCTACCTACCTCCCTATCTTTCCTTCCTGTTGAACCATAGAATAAGATATTCCACGCACAGTAAGATTATGCATGCCCTCCTCTTTTCTCACTCACTCTCTCTCTCTCTCTCTCTCTTCTCTGACTGAAAATAATGCTTCCTTCACTTATTTTCATGAAATCCCCTCATTGCTGGAAGACACACGCACACACATACATACAAACGCACAAACAAACACATACGCACACACACTGATCAGAGCCCCCCCTCCCCCACTCTCCCGTTGAGAAAACAAAAAGTAGCAAGCCTCTGAAGGAGGCACTGAGAGGAGAGAAGAAAAAAAGAAAGAGAAAAGGGGGGATGTTCAGCCCACCATCACCACCCCTTTCATTTGCAAAATTCTCCTCTCCTTCATAAAGATACACACACACGTTCCACGAATTTGGTGCCTTTGAGAAGTGTATCTTGGTATAAAACAAAAAAGATTTCACCAACTTTTTTACATTCTATCATAAAGAGCACATGTTCAACTTAATAAAAAACAAGTTTTCCCATCTCAAGAGGTTAAATAAAAAAATGACTATAGTAAGTGCCAATGAAGTGCCAAATAAAGTAACAGGGTTGACCGTAACAGGGTTGACGATTTCTTCTTAAATCAGCCATAAATCCCCTTATGACAGGGGGAATGGAAGCTTGTTGTGTGTAACCGGGGGTGACTATTGAATGCAAGATTCACAAGATTTTGTACACTGTTAAAACATTTCTAGCCTGTCTATCTATGATAACAGGGTTGATGTGTTATGCTCGACCCACTCAGTTTTCCACCAACAAAACACCAGAAAATGGCAAAAGAAAGTAGAACCAGCTGACCTGCTTTTACTCTATGATTTGACTATTAGATGTTCAATGTTTCTTTTGAAACATTTTTTTTAAAAGGAATTGTATCAACGTATTAAAACAGGGTTGACCTTAAAATGAGGGACAGAAATAAATTAATCATTAATCAAATGAAATAAATAATAATCTTCATAAATGGCTTTGTCAAAGCAACAAAATAACTTGGGCTTTACAATGATGGTGAAAACTTGGAGTATTTTGGGGGATTAAGTGTGTTAAAATCTTCCTAGAAGTGACACAGGGTTGACAGAAGGACATGTCAAAATGCTGAATTTTGGCACATTAACAAGCCTTTATTCATATAAAAAAATCTGATTTATTGAATTCTCCATGTGGTCCATATAAAAGGGCACTTCTTTTAAGATAACTGGCTTTTACAATTCGATATTGGTGCCCAATTTCTATTTAAAATAGCAAAGGCACTCATTTCGTGGAACGACCCAGAGCGAAAAAAAATGGAAAGAGAAAGCATCTGCATAGTAGGAACTGCCATAGAATAGGGACAGAAAAAGTGTGTGTGCGTGTGTGTTTGTTTTCTTGTGTGCATGGGTGTGTGTGCCTGCCCGTAGAGAGTAGCAACCAAGATGATTAATGGTGTAGCTGTGCAGGCAGACACTCTCTGGGGGTCTAACCTTCTCTACTCCGCTTTGACCTTCTACACACAGGAATCACAGTGTGTGTGTGTGTGTGTGTGTAGTCCTTTAAGAGGTGTGTAACTGAGGACACTATATTGTGTAGAGCTACAGTGGTAATAATAACAGTAACAGTTTTACTGCTGCTGGAGACCCAGTCATCAGTCTACTTCACCCATAAACTCCCCTCATAAACCTGTATCACACACATGCACACAGGCACACTGACAGGCACACACAAGGATATGCACACATTGGTATGAGGGGTGAAATGGGGACTAAATTGAGCCTAATGTAGCTGCTGATATGTCTCACCAAGTCACCTAATGTGTAATTTAGCGCCTAAGAAACCGTCTTGAATTAACCTGGACTGTCGATGGGGACACGTTTTTTTTATTTCTTAGGCGTTCCCACGCATGTTCACACGTGTTTTCACACGTGCGTTCACTCATTGACACGTGTGAATGTGTCAACGCACTTGTCAACGCACGTGTGAAAGCACCTGTCAATACACTTGTGAAAGCGAATCAATTAAAAAAAATTCTGCTAGAATTGCCTCTGCCTTGGGTTTTTAATGTCCCAGTTATCAGGGGATGATTATAGCAGAGGGCATTTTTCATGCTGTGGGCAGGAGCGGTTGGTCAGTCAGACAACTTCAGGATGAAAATATTTTTTTGTCCCATCTTTCTATTCTTTGGTCATTATATTCTAGGGTATAAAATCACTTTTGCTGCATTATT